TATTATCGCTTCACTGGTTACACACATATCCAGTTGGAGTCTTGTACGAAACATCGGCGAGTATAATGATACCGTTGTTAAACGCATGATAGAAATGCATGAAGACGACTCATTTCTTCGACTGTGGAATCGCGCCATCACCACACGAAAAACTCAGTGTTATCGGATCAGGGATGCCACAGGAAAATCTGTTCGGATCCGCTTTAGACCACGCTGTTCGCAGACAGACTGCGTGCGCATCAGTAGTGCTGGGAATGTGCCTTTGGATCTAACTCTTGTTCAGTTTCGTGGACTATGTGCCACATTAGCCGATATTGTTACTTTGTAAAAAAAAAAAAAAAAAAAAAAAAAAAAGGGCGCTGCCCCGAATTAGTGACGGTCTTAGCTTGTCAGAATAATTGACAGACAAGCTGACATCGTCGCTATTTTGGGAACCCTTTTTGCATTAAGGAGACACAAACAAACTTACGCCGAGAACACTATTGTTAATATGGAGTCAAATTTGGTAGAAGTTAGCTACCCCGGCTATGAGGGGATTAGGACTTATCGCTTTGGAAATGGCAAAACATTTGTTTTTTGGCATTATACCGCAGGCAAAATGGTTTTGGCAAAAGATGTGCCATCGGTGGATGAGCACGGTTACTCGGAAGCTAAACGAACCGGAATAACTTTGACCAAGCGTGACTTGGAATTCTTAGAGTGGATGGTGCGAACAGAATGGTATACTCCGGATCTAGAAGAATCTGATTACACCTACAGACTGAATAAAAATTTGGAGATCAAGTTGAATCCTGTAGCTTCCATGTATACTCCGTCAGTTGAGTTCAGACAACAAGATCGCCAAATCAAGTTGTCTGTATTCACAATCATACAGATCGTGGAAGCGGCCAGTTAAACAAGATGACAGATGTCTGCCTGCATTTGCTTCCTCTATCCATCTAGGAACGGCTATGGCAGATAATCGGTAAAACACTTCTTGAAAATGGATATGTCAGACGTAGATAACCGCTGCAACAGCTTTGTCAACTGGCCATGTACTGAGTATTCCATAGCACGACTGGCGTTTGATGGATTCTTTTACAAGGGCGTGTACGACGAAATTCACTGTGTGTATTGCGGCCATGTTATGGGCGATTGGCCCAATTCTCGGTATAAGCCTTTCTATCGGCATCTGTTTGAGCGTCCGGATTGCCCTAACTCACAAGCACTGGCTGCTGGTGAGGATGACTTCGGTTCACAACATGATTTGCTTTTCGCTGCGCCAGAAATGCAAGATTACAAGACACGTTTTGCCAGTTATGCCGAATGGCCTGTAAGCAAGCAGCAACATCCACGAGACATGGCACACGCTGGATTCTATTACGAAGGAAATGGTGATTGCGTTCGTTGTTTTCACTGCGGCGGCCAAATTCACAATTTGGGAAGCAACTGATGTACCTTGGGAAGAACATGCCCGATGGTATCCAAAATGCCCGTACCTTACGGAGACAAAAGGAGCGGCATTCATTGAAGAAACTCAAAAGAAATACGAAAAATCTGTTGTGTCTTGTTGTCCGTGTAGCACTGATATTTAGAACTGACTTCTGCTATTTCGATTTACTATATTGACTATCCAGATCAGTGGATGCTGCTTTGCTGATCTCTCTGACTGAATAAAACAAAAAAAAGAGGGTGGGGAAAATCAAACAAAAGAAAGGGGCTAATCATAGACAGTGTACAGGCTAATACGCTATTCGTACACAGTATATTATAGGCGGCATACAGGTTAAACCGATCTGTACGCCATTCGTACACACTATCAGTCCAGACTGATTTGCATATACAGTACAGTGTACAGACCATAATCCGCTATTCGTATACCCTAGACTATAGGGGCGGTACTCAGGCTAAACCGACCAATACGCTATTGTACACAGTACATGGACTGTACGCTATTCGTACACACCATCAGATCAGGCTGATTTGTACGCTATTTGTATATACAGTACAGTGTACAGACCATATTCCGCTATTTGTATACCCTAGACTATAGGGGGCGGTACTTAGGCTAAACCGACCAATAGGAGAGCCCGCTATGTGTACTACCATCAAACCGCTGGTTCTACTACTTCTCTTCTGTCACCACCCAGCGTCGCATAGGTCATCCCGGCACTCCACATCGACGCCGGTGTGTGTTTGTTATTTGCGAATGAAACGGCAGGAGTCATAAATGTGCGTCTTGTGACTGGGGAGTTTGCTAGTCAACTTTGTTGTTGTTTCCTTGATGAGCTGGAATTGTGGTAGAAACTAGAAACCTGTGCATTTTTTCATCGGCCTGATGGATAATATTTGTGAGTAATTAAGCATTCCCTGCATTTGTTACGATATTTTGCTTTTGCCGGAAAAGGCAACAAAACGGTGGCATGCCTAGAATAAAGTACGGTTTTTTAGCACGATCCCAAAAGGACCATATCGCATTTGCCGTACCCCAACGCCAAATCCGAATTTGAAAAACGATGGTGATGACCATCGTAAGACGGTATTCCGCGGTATTACAATAGTTGTTTCACCCTTGTCTCTGCGACTGTGGTCGGAATACAACCGTAAACCGACCCATAGGAAATTTCCGAGGGTAGAACTATCATTAGGGCATTCATAGGTATTAACTACCGTAGTGAATTACGACATCGGTGGCCTATCTGAGTCAGCGACCGTAGTGTCAACCTAGCGTGCAACGACCGTTGCTAGCGGATAGGGTGGTTACCGCGGCTTTGCGTAGCCGGTAGTTACCTGAGTAATCTTATTGGCGGTACAGACGTAGTTATCGCCTTGTGGCGGTAGACACACCGCTTTCTTCTCTAGGTCACATTACCGGATCATAGCTAACTATTGTAAGTCGAGCTGCACGGGTTGACGTCTAAATCAAAAACAACCTTTTTTCGAAATACATTAGCTCAAATTCTGTTACAACTGTAAGTTTGTAACTATTCTGTTTTCAAACTCTGCCTGAAGAAAGCATGGAATAGCTCATAATGCTTCAAAAGGTCCGTGCAGCGTGTCCCAGCTTAACTGATTGCCAAGCGGACTGCGGCCTAGGTAAGAACTATATAAAGAGTAAAATTACCTTTTCGGAGTAACTAATGGTACATAAAACAGCATATTGTTAACCAAAGCTTCAGAAATACTATAAAATGCAGGAGAATAACATTTACGTTTTTGCAATACTGTGAGTCTGGGAGAATGCTAATTTATCGTGTTCGTGCAGAATAGGATTAAAAATGCAAAAGTTTTCTAGATATTGCATGGATCGCAGTCCCTGAGTGGAGACTGCAAAGTTTTGAGTTGATTTGCATTTTTAGGGGAAACTGGAAACGTCTAAATCTTCGACAGTCCGCGGCCAAAATTTGCTACAAGGGAAATTAAGTCTAGTAAGATTCACATTAATGATTTTTTATGGCTACGAATAAAAAAGTGGGACGGTAATTCTTGTCATTTTCAACATCACGTAAAACGCCATAATTTTCTTCACTATGTACTAGGATGGGTGCAATATTTTTCGTCGGGGCTAATAATTGTTGTTGCTGATATTCTAAGGCCTTAGTTGTTTTTTCCAACACCCCTGTTGTTGCAGATATCCTGAATGCATCCCAGCAACGACGAACTGGCGGCACCACCACACATCGCCATTGCGTGGCGGTAGCCAATAGCCACGTTCTCCCATTGCATTTGGTAATGGCTTATCTGCGGATCTGCCCATATTCGCTAAGTACACGTAGTACGTCTGTACACGTAGTATGTACCAATAACTAATTTTTCTGCTGATTGAGTGTACTGCGTTGTGATGTTAACTGTTGTGTATAAGCTAAATGTACCCAATAAAATATTTTTCCATGATTCCACCCAAGCTACCTTAACTTCAGGTTTCTTTGTTTTTGCACTCTTTTCTACAATGTTGACGGTTCACAGATTACTTAATATACTGAGACGATGGCGTCTAATAATTACAAGACACGAATTGCTGTCATTTTTTGGCAAACAGTAACCAGCAAGAGGGATAGTCATTATACACAAAACAATATACGCGCGCATCGCTGTTACACTAAGATTAACACGCATGATACCTTGCTTTTGTAATATTACTTACATAATTTTAATGAGAATAACACTTACGAGCACTTACTCTGTACGTTTCCGCCGTCATTACGCTAACCTTTGTGCTATCATTTACTGTACTTAATTTAGTCATTTTACATTCAATGGACACTTTCGTCTCTTCGATATTCTATGTCAATGTTCATTTATCTGATGCTTACTTTTTATAATTTTTTTTGCAGAATTGCGGCTTGCCAAAACTCGGACGAAGCGTCGTAAACTGGCAGTCTCATTTTTATCGGAAAATATTCCACTGATCCGGAACCCCGAAGTCATTTAAGCGTTCAGTGATTCATTATTCTGCTTTTGTTTGCTGAATGCTACTCAGAATTTTAAAATCATCTCTGTTTTTTTGGCTGACTGTTTTACAACAAATCTAATGCATGGATGCTTACTATAATTTGTAGTTTTATCATTAATATTGTTAGCACTTTCTAGATGAGATATTTGAAAGTTCCAGTTGGAATAAAAATGCTACCGTGTTACGATGGTTTTCGCCCACAGAAATATAAAATAAGTATACCGTAGTACGGACGACTGTATTCCCACCGTAGAATGCGTTCCTGCTTCTCCACCGTATTTCTACAGTAGTTACGTACCACAGTACGCCATCCTACTGTATTAATTACGACGGTCTTACTACGGTTCACTTAACCATATTACTACGGTATTAACGAAGAATCCCCGAGTGTCGCTTCAACGAAGCAACCCATGGTGGGATTTTCCTCGGACGACGGTCGTATCGCAACACTCGTAACACCGTAGGAACATAGTTCGATTTTGGCGTTGGGCATGTACGTACGCGCGTACAGACGATACGGCAAAAAAACCGTTCATCTAAGTTAACCAGCCAAGTCGCCGTCCCATAATCCAGCTAACAACAGTATTCAGTTATTCGCCGCATCGCGGCCACAAAGTGGATCGTAATCAGCGCGATCAAACGTAGATTGCCGCAACAGTTAAGATCGGAGGACCGATGTACTGTTCGCGTTACAATTCACGCGAAGAACTTGTTTAGGTTAATTGTATCTGTAGGCTGTAGCCCGAATAAGTAACGTAAAACGAATTATTTTGCGAAGTGAAGAGCATTGTCAAGATGTTCCGCTATATTTTACTGCTGGCCACCTTGATCGCCCTGTTGGGGTCGGCACTGGCCGATAGCGAATCCCGAAACCGGCAGAACGCGCGGCGCTGTCTGCGCTACGGCCGCATCGCCCTGGCCGACGGGAGCGCCACGGACGGCTACAAGAACGCCAAGGGCTGCGGATGCGAAGCGGCCCGCGACCAAGAGTGGAACCAGCCGCAGTGTACGTACACCCGCACTGTGACTGGTCAACCGTAAAGCCTGTATACTTTGTATTGCAGTTGCTAACAATTACGCACCGGTCTGCGCCAGAGACGGCAAGTGGAAATCGGTGCAGGACGACCAGGTCAACATGTGGTGCGTGGACAGCCAGGGCAATCAGGTCTCCCGTGCCGTGCCAAAAAACAGTCGGGGTGGCGCGAAACCCTGCTAAAGAAACCGTAACGTTTGATAGACTGTTAACTAGTTGTTCAAATCGCTGCCAACGTATAGCGCGTTTGAACTGTGTTTGTGGTGAGTTAACTGAATTAAAAAATGCCTGTAAAAAACTTTCACAGTTGCTGGACGCAGCGCAGTCACGTGTTATCTAATCGTTTGCTTGGAAATAAAGTTGTTAATTTAACTGTTTCCGTCACTATTCTGGAGAACTTCATGAAAAAACGTAATAACTACATATTATTTTATTATTTGTTGTTATTATGTTGTTACAAAAAATATTTTACACTGATTTAAAACTGGTACTGATTGCCGGAAATCAATACGCTTTGAAAGCGCGCGTTATCGTGCCAAGACGACGCTTGTACGTTTATTAAGCAAGTTGCACTCGCCCTCGGATTTAAACTCTGAATGATCCTTGATCGTCCGTCTTTTGGACTAAATCTTGGGACAAACCCACACCTTCATGGTTTATTTTAAAACCTAGGTATATACAGCATAAATATCCCAGGTGGTAGCAGGAAGCATGCGGTACAGCATCCGGTGCCCAGTGATTAACGGGTGCAGTTACTTTGATTGCCACGCTGCTCGGGAGTAAATTTGTAGTTGGTTCGGCTAGTGACGTTAACGACAATCCCACTACAAACTACACAATACCGGCACACCGCCCACAATTCACGTCTGAGTACCGGAAGTGTACCGGAAGTGAAAGCCACATTTGCCGAGTATGTTCTACAAGTGCGTAATGAAAAACAGGGATAATGCGCGCGATACATTACGTACTTATGAAGACCTGCTTCTACCGATGGTTTTTTCCTTTTCTTCAAACGGCAGTCTGAAGACGACAACGGCATCAATCCTGGTTAATTCGATACGCCAATGTTTGGCTTTTTTTCCAGAGCCCGCTGTGAAAAACTCCGTGAAACCGATACGCCAATGTTTGCACGGGGTTTCTGCAAAGCGCATCCTAAAAAAGACCGCAGGGTTAATCGGAAACCCGATGGGGATATTGATACCGCATTTTTCCGTTAGTGGATTTTAATGTTGATTATACCAGAGACACATCGTGCTGTATTGATTTTTCGCTGGGCTTGTGATCGCATAAATCGTTCCAGGTAGAGATAAATACATGCTCCTGTGACCTTACATGGAAATACTGCCGATGTACCCAGAAGCGGAAGTTGAAATTAGTGGGACATAAATTGCGCCGGAGTGGTGCACGTCATAGCTTGAAGGTACAAGGTCGTCCTGTAATTTCTAGCGTAAAGGTACTTCGCTTTTTCTCATATTCCGGTCACTATAACTATACAGTTTCATATTTCGGTCACCAGGTAGCAAAATGCCTTAACAAAACAAAATTCACAGAAATGGTTAATTTTCATAAAACGACCTCTCTCATTCCATTTGAAGCGTAAACATGGCAAAATAAAAAGCAAGTTGTGCGATCAGCAGCTGCTCATGTAGTCGCACCAGTGACCGGTGACCGGAATATGAAACCATTCACTCAAAGTGACCGGAATATGAGAAATAGCGAGGTACAGAGTTAGCGGGAAAGTTGCACTGTGAACGACTGCCACTACACTACGTATACCACAACGATAAATTAAAAGAATTAGGATAATTATCAATAAGGAATGTCAATATTTTATAATTTATACTGTATGGATATTTTATAATTTATATGGATGTATTTCATAAATTTTATAAATTATTATATAATATTTATAAAAAATATTTATAATTTATAACTTAATATGGATGGTTTATAAATTAAATTTATATTTGGCATGTATCAGCCACGAGTAGAGCGTAAATAGTGAGGCGTGGCGCGCCGTAGTATAGAGTTTGGCGTAACCCATGAATTTGTATATTTCGCTGTGTTGACGCGTTAGAAATTCCGGGACAAGCTTGTACCCTGTCGGCACTAGTAATTAAAGCGCCGGCAAGGTCAGTCCGTCACACGCGGATCAGCACACCGGGACTTTTGATCGCGGAGCGAGTAAACACGGCATTCATCGGCATAGTTGCCTGTAATTGCCGGTACAGTCGTTGCCGCTATCGACGCGCATATCCCGCTGTAAATCGATCTCCATCGCGCGCGATCCGCATCCAATTTCCCGGGGATGTTTATGCCGGTTATTTGTCGGATTACTTCCCCGCCGGCACCATGCTGCTGCTGGCCTTGATCAGCTTCCTGTGGGAAGTGGACGGTGTACATCTGCGCAAGGTCAACGTGACCATTCTGATGTTGCAGCCGTATTCGTCCCTGGCGTATACGTATGACTATTACGGGCCGGTGACGGATATGGCCATTGAGGAGATGAATCGGCGGTATCCGCGGTTTAATTTCTATAAGAGAATGTATGTGCCGAAGAGCAATAAGACCTGCTCCGATCTGGAGGCCATGGAGTCGGTGATGCTGTATGAGTATTTATTGGCGGAGTACCGGAATCGCACGGCCGCCGGGGAACAGCTGGGTGTTACGGTACTGTCCGGAACCGGTGAGATTATTATGTAATCATAGTAAACCTATCCAGTAGTCTTTTCAGTGAAACTATAGCTTAAACGTAAACAGCTATTTATGGCGCGTGGTGCAATGATGGAAAAACCCTGATTGTGATATGTGGTGTCACGTTTTCGTGCACTATATATTAGGGCAGAAAATACGGATTACTTTTTTTCCATGAGCGTGTTGTGGCAATGAATCGAAGAGAAAATAATTCGTCTTTTTTAATTAGTTCATGTTAAAGGATTTTCCATCACGTGCGTGAGACCACGCACATATTAGTTATTGGGATATCTGTGGTTGTAATTGACGTACATAATTAACTGCATAATCAGATTTAAGGATTATTGGCTTAAATTAGAAGAGGGTCTTTCCACTACATAATATGTCAGAATAAAAATTATTGGCTTACATTCAAAACAGGCTCTTTTCACTACATAATATGTAGAATAAAAATACGCTGAATGTATAGCAAACTGTTTTTAATTATATTTCAATTTTTTAATATGTTAATTTCTATATTATTATTATTCTTAATAACGTAATGATGCCTTACGAATATTTTTAATAAAATAGCGTTATCCACATTATTTTTATGATAATAATCATAGTAATATAATGTGTTTTGATGATCCACTGGGAAGCTGCATCGGCAGAGCCGTGTCAGATATTATGTTTCACTAATTTTTTAAACGTGACGGTGAATAATCGTCCGTTGTGCGTTAAATTTTTGGAGCAGAAGCCTGACTGCAATGGAAAAATCTGTCGACAATAATTCACTCAACGATCCTTCACCTGTCCTTGCTTAACAAATTCTCTGAACATGTATCTTTAATTAATTAAACGTGACCAGCGCACTATCACCATCCGTTTCCGGTCGTCACGCTGGCGCTGCAGCTAACCGATACGGACACTTGATTACTACACTCAATCCGTAAATAATAAGCGATATTGAAAAGTGTTATTTGTACAAAATACACATCGATCCGTACTTATGACTGCGTATTTGTAATCCACATTTCCAAAATAAAAATGAAGCAGTCAGCAGCCACTGAATGCCGGAAGGTGTGGTGTTGATATTGGTCGGCCGGGCTGACGCGGCCGGCGGCAGGCGTTGTGTTTGGGAACTTGACAGCGTTGTTTCAATATTGACCGACTTCCTGTGTACACGCTAGCGGGAAGAACAGTGGCCGCAGAAATTACGTATTTAGCGATAGGATTGACAAACGACGGTGCGGTATCAGATGATACAGTTTCGATCTCATCGGAAATAATGTAGAGTTTGTATTTTATTTTAATTTGTGAAGCGGACTGCAGAAAAATCAGTTTTATTAACGAAAATTAAATTTAGCCAGCGATGTTTGTGACCATGATTTTATGATCTGAATAAATTAATTGATGCGATTATTAATTTATATTTTATTTTCAAAAATAGTGTATGAGTTTAAAAAAGCGCGGAACAAAAATAAATAATTAAAATATAATCTTGAATATTAAATGGGTAAAAAAATACAAAAATATTATGCAATAAAAATTCATTAATAAATGCAACAAAAAACTATTAGTTGCATAAAATGGGTAATTCATGCGCTGATTGTTGTTAAATCAGCATATAAAAGTTAAACAATAATGATGCTAATTAACTTTGTTACAATTTTATTTATACTAACTTTGTTACAATTTTATTTACCTCCAAATTAGACTATTGATTTATATACTGTAAGCAAATTTGTTTGCTGACAATATATGCCGTAACTGGGCACTTGCTGGTGATCAGTGGGATGGAAAATTAAATAAACCGCGGTTGGAGTGAATAAGGCGCATTTAAGGCCATTATGGCCCGCATCCCGAAGATCGAGCGCGACACGCAGCTATCCCTTTGGGGAGCGTTGGCATTCACGGAAAACATCTGTGTGTTATTGCGCACCGGCACAGTCCTTTACAGTGACCTTTAATCAGTTAGTGTGCACAATAAAACGTATTGGCATTTTTGCTTCGTAGCGTGCAGTGTGGCGCTGCGGTGGATGGGGGATCTGGCACGAGGTACGCGATTATTGCCGGCAGTGATGCCTAAACAACGTGCATGATGGTGGTTCTTTTTTGCTGCTTTACAGAACTTAACCTGCCGCACATTGCCAGGTAAATTGCGGTAAAAAAGCGTCAAAGCGAAATGCATATTATCGATTATGTGTAATGTATCTACTTGCATAAAGAGGGGAGATCAAAGCATTTCGATGCTTTTTTTGCATTAGAAATGTTTCGCTGTATGATTTTTCAAACAAAACTGAGAAACACTTCGCTACATTATCAGTCCCTCTTATGCGCGGCTACGTGAATAACGGCAACTAATGAAAGCCAGCAACTGATTTCCCACATTTTTTTTATTAAATGGATTTAATTTCTTAAAGCTATATTTCTTACAGTAATCTGTTTTAGCAGTTAAATTATCATCGATGCAGTTTTACACTTAATTAAGATTTTTAACTCAATACTTTTCGTTTTAAGGTTATCGTATGTTGTAAATTTTTTTTCATGTGGTGTAACGAACGAGAAAACGGTGAAGAATCTACTTTGCTAGTGAAAATCGGTTAATTGAAATAAATTTACTTTCTCCAAACGTTAATAATTAACCGGTAAATATGGCGTTATACAGCGGAGGATCAGCAGCGTACATGGCCAACCCGAAGCGTTTCACGACGACCATCAAGATCCAGGTGTACCGGCAGCAGGACGTGGGCGACACCCTGGTGGCCTTCCTGCGCCGCTACAACTGGACCAACGTGGCCATCATCTGCGACGACAATCCGGGTCTGGGCGACTTCATCCTGCTGTCCTGCAACGGCTTCATCGGGCAGGTCAAAGCGCAGTCGGACATGCAGTACTACGATCTGCACTACGACAGCTCGCGCACGCCGCTTCCCGATTACGACCGCTTCTTGAAGCTGGCCGCCGAACGGAGCCGCAGTAAGCGACATTTATACAGCCTGCACTTTGTAGGACAAACTGACATCATTTTGCCGTTTTGCAGTCATTTGTCTCACCGCCCTCGGGACACGCGTGCGTGATATCATGGTATGTAATCGCTTCTTAATGTTCCATAGTTCAAAAACCGTAAAACCAGGCAGAGTGGTGCTGCGGTACTTATAACGACCAGAAATCCATTAGCTTTTTTATTTTCTTAGGTTTTTCTGTTTTCTTAGGTTTTTCTTTTTTAATTTATTTGCCAAACATTTGGCTCGTTTCGAGCTTCGCTGCAGATAAAGGATTTTGTGTTAGTAAAATTACTGCAATGAAGAGTTATTGCTGGATTTGAAATGTGTATTTGCAGGTAGCTGCGCATCGCTTGGGGATGACAAACGGATATTTTGTAAGCATACACAGAAATGCAAGGCTAGCATTACTTTACCAATAGGTTACTTCAACGTTGAAAACTAAAACGTTTCTGCACTACTCAAACGTTTCTGGTATTACTTAACAAGCACGTTACTGCAACGTTTGTAGGTATTTATAACATCCTATCCCTTTGAGCACTCCCTGTACGGCTGGTTCAAGTGGCTGTACAACGACGGCAAGGACGATGTATGAACAGTGCTCAGTGCGCCAAAAGTATATGGTCGATTAAGAAACATTCCTGTATATATGATCAGGAAGCCAAAGAAGCCTTCAAGTCCCTGTACTTCATCTACGTCAAACAGCTACGCGGCCCGGAATTTGCCGGCTTTGAAACGGAGGTCAAGTATCGCGCGTTCCGGGACTATGGAATGTTCTACGAGCCGCTGGAACACGTACGATGCACCCGCAGCATGCACTACTCATCCAGTTAATTTCATTAATTTATTCTTGTGTAGGTTAACGGCTTCACTGCCTTCCAGCACACCATCGTGCGCTATGCTGCCAAGGTACTTAATACTGTAATAAAGCCTTAGCTTATAGTCCTGGTATTGAAACGTTAAATGAGTAATCAGACGTTTGACGTATCGCAGCTAATCAACGACACGGACGTCGACTGGAGTACGATCACGTTAAATGACGGAAAGGGTCTGCAGATTGTCAACGGCTCTGTAGAAGAGCAGGAGGTGGAGTCCATCACCGGTCCGGGACTGATGATCAAGAACAAGGATCGCGCCTACTTCAGCTACACGATCGTCACCATGGACCACGTTACGTACGAATTCAAGGTATACTTTTGGTTCCGTCGTAGTGACCGTTACAGTTTCTATACGCCGGCATAACGCTTTGGCCTTTTCCCGTCAGATGCGTAGCGTGCAGAACGAGAGCGTAATCCTGCATTTTTAATGGCTGACCATTGCGCTAGTACGGAGTCTACTACGGACACAAAATTCTTATCATTGCTGTAAAGCGCAAAAAGGATACTGTCAAGTGTCAACCGTAAAGCGTTAATCGCTACTGTGAAGCACAAAACGTTGTTGTTACTGTAAAGCGTAAAATCGCTTATTGTCACTTTAGCTAATTTTAATATTTTGTTTGCGGTTCTTATTATGTAAGTTGTCCATCTTGTAGGAAATTTTCTCGTACGAGACCAAAACTAGGATACTGCTTCCGGACCCTAACAACACCGTCACCTGGGCATACCGCGGCGACTCACCGCCGCCTAATATGCCCAGCTGCGGCTACAAAATCCTCGACAATCAATGCGAAATCTGTACGTAATCCCAGTTTTTCACGAGAATTACGCATAGCCCCGCTAATATCGACGCTATTTCACAGCGCACGCCTTCATCATCGGCATCAGCCTGGGCATCGGAATCCCGGTGATCGTCTTCGCCATCACCATCGGCATCCTGGCGCGGCGCACCAGCAAACTGCAGGTGGTCGATGATCCCTTCTGGTACATTCCCGTTGCCGATATCGTCATGGAGGATCCCGAATCGATCAAGTCCGATAATAAATTCAAAGAGGTAAGCAGCAGTGCGATCGTTGTGGTCACGCAGTTTTTGTGTACATTTCAATTCCGCAGGTGAAATCGAAAACGTCGAAACCGGTAGTGCGACGCCACGAAGACTACGCCATGTATAAAGACAAGAAAGTCTGGTTTAGGAAGCTGCCGCTGATGTATAAGTATAACCCAACAAGCGCCGATGAAAAACTCATCAAAAGAGTACAAATGTTATTTCTCGGCATCGTGACCTTTCATAATTATAATGTAATTTCACTGGGTGCAGATGAAAGCGGCCGGTATTACGACCAATACGCTGTTACGTTTTTACGGATTTTGCCCAATGGAAATGGAGATGGGCGTGGTGTATGAACTGAGCCCGCGCGGAAACTTGGTGCAGGTCATGCAGGCCGGGACGGTCCGCTTCGATATGCTGCTGAAGAAGTCCGTCATCATGGATCTCACCAGTGTGCGTTACACTCAGTGTTTGACCTTTCATTTGATCCGATGAAACGCTTAATTAAATATATAACCCAATAAAAACGGCTGGAAATGCTCAGTTATATCTAGTGACTAGTGAACTTTCGCTTAAGAAGTCAACGACTGAACGCACATGATACGTCGAGCAAATTTAAATTTCTTTTTATTAATTTAGGAACTTGACATTTCATCCACCGTATTTAATTCTTCTATTCAAACCGTTTGACGACGAAAGCGCGTAAAAAATGTTCTGAATAAAGAACGTAATTGTTTTTGTATGAAATAAACTAAAACTAAGGGAATTTCCAGAGAAAGAAGCAAATTAAAAACCTAAAATTTTATTGGATACAGTTATTAAAAACTGCAAAATTTTGAAGCGTTAGAATAATTTGCTTTTATTTTTTAACTACATTCCATTTCAGAAGCGTCTATTTGAATTTTATCTGTACATTTAAAATTAGAATAATGATTTTGAAAATCGTGTTTCTTGGTATGATTTCAGGCCTTATTGTACATTCATTCATCCCCGCTGGAACACCACGGCGCCCTATCGCGCTACACCTGCCTGTTCGATCACCGTCTTGCCTTGAAACTGGCCGACTACCGGCTGGATATTCTTCCGCGTGTACAGCCCCGCTTCACCTTGCCCGCACCCGAGCATAAAGCCTTCCTGACCTTTGCGCCCGAGCAGCTGCGGGCCGATAATATTTACCTGGGCTCCAGAGCCGGCGACTGCTACTCGTACGGATTCGTTCTCACCGAGATCCTGTGCGAGATCGAACCCTTCCAAACGGAAATCGAAACCGCCAACTATTCGGTGGCCGGTAAGCTTAAGCTTTTAACCTCAGTGACATTTGCCAGTGAACTTTGCATAGCTGGGCTGTGTTATATCGGCGGCCGGATGGAGATATAGCGGTTTTCCAATAAACAAACAAAAATCATTACGCTATTTTGTGTACTGCGTTCTTCGCAGTTATTAACGGGTTTTGGGCGTTTTAAAAATAATTAGTACACGACATTAAAACCGGCGTTAACATTGGCTTCGCTAAAAACGTTTTGCAAGTTGCGCTGGATTTTCTGATTTTTTCCGCGAAATTTAATAAGCTACTAAGGACAAGTTACACTTTACGCTTTTTAATAATGCACTTTGCTCTGTTAATAAGGCTAAGTTACGCACCGCATTGTTTTCTGATTTTTTTTATCAAGCTTTTAATAGGTATTAGAGCGCTTTACGCTTTTTCATGGGACTGAGTTACGAATAACGCTTTTAATAAGGCAAGTTACTATTTACACTTTTTAATTAGCCCCAGTTACGCTTCATATTAATTTTAATAGTTTTTTCTCGAACTTTAACAACTTTGCTTTTTTGTGGATTCCAGAGATAATCGATATGCTGCAGCAGGGCAGCACGAAACCTTTCCGGCCGGTCGTGCCCTTAGGCAGCGTAGCCAACCAGTTCGCTCCCTTAGTGAAACAGTGCTGGGAAGAGGAGCCCATCGACCGGCCCAGCATCCAGTATATCAATAACTTCATCCGCGGCATCCCCGGCTTCCAGCGCCAATACAATCTCGTGGATGAATTGATCCGCCGGTTAACGGCTCACGCGGAACTCCTAGAGAGCCGCATCTCTGCCGCCACGCAGGGTTTGCTGGCCGAGAAAAGGCGCGAAGAGGAGCTGCTGCTGCAAATGCTACCCAAGTACCGATTAATCGAATATCGACGCGGGATGGGTTTGTTGACACAGGGTGCGTTGCAGGCACGTGGTGATCGCGTTAACCCGTGGCGAGAAGATCGATCCAGAGGGATTTAATTGCGTGACCATTGGGTTCACGGCGCTGGAGAACTTTGGGGTCATCGCGCTGACCAGTACGCCGTTCCAGCTGGTCACGCTGCTCAATGACCTCTACTCCATCTTCGACGACACGCTGCCGCGGTTCAACGTCTACAAAGTGGAGACCATCTCCGATTCCTACATGGTACGGTAAACGTACCTCAACATGAAGCCCACCGCCCAGTCCCATTTCTGTTGATGGTATGCGTTGACCAATCAGCCTGCTTGCTTTTGACAGATTGCCAGCGGCTTGCCAATTCGCAACGGGAACGCCCACTCTCAAGAGATCGCCAGCGTGGCCATCGAGCTGATGCGGGAGTCGAGTACGGTGAAAAGCAGCTCGGCCCCCGACGGACTCCTGCAGATGAAGATCGGCTTCCACACTGGGCCGTGTGTCGCGGGGGTCGTCGGACTGCGCATGCCGCGCTACTGCTTGTACATCAATCTCTCTCTTTTTCCATCACGAATGAATTGCTCCGAAGTCTTGATTTTTACAGATTCGGTGATACAATTAACATGGCTTCCAGAATGACTTCTTCCGGTCAAGGTACCATTTCCACAATGACCGTTCTCCCATTCCAGCGCTTAATGTACGATGTGTTGCAGCGTTCAAGATACAAGTCAGCTCCGAAGCCCGCGAACATCTATCGCGCCATTCGGGGAAAGGGTTCCGCTTCCATTTTCGCGGTGTCGTCGAGATTAAGGTACGAAAATTGTTACTGATGTACTAAACTGAGCAAAGAAAATAGAGGATGTTGGTGATGGCAGGGCAAAGGTCCGCAGCCGTGTTATTGGCTGCTAACCGACAACGGCAGCACCATGCTGCCACCGACGGCGCATCTGGGCGACAATCCCAGTTCCAATGGTTCCGAGACCGGTCTTTCATCGCGGCGGGGCAGTCACATGCAGCGGACCCCGTCCAGCATGTCCATGCAGCGCCAGCTCTCTTCCAATATGCTGGATAATGTCCTTTGATGTATAAATCATGCTGTGCCGATCGCCGACTGTGCGTTCTCAGCCATACTTCAACTGTGACCTCTTAAACCTTCTTGAAATCTTGCAGTAATACTTATCTTGACATAGCTATGATTATTATTTGTATTTTCGGTGAAACCTGGCAATCCATAGAACTTGGTTCTTGATGAGATGTGATGATGAATAAAAGCAAGCAGAATACTCTTTACTTCAGATTGTTTACATCCGACAACCCCGCATACATATGGACTATAACAAGGACGGTGATAGTTTGTCATTATTCAATGATAGTGACCTTTCAGTAAACTGGCTGATTTGGGCACTGAAGTAACCGGAACTACTGCTGGTGAAACGGACACCATTTATGTGTGATATTTGAATCGCTGTGTTGTTAGGCACCGGCACAGCAGCGAATTAACAAGGTGCCCGGTACCCAAGATCGCTGAACTGAAAGCAAACGGAGCCAACAATGAGTACGTGACATTTCGAGGCGAAGCAGCTTCCGGTGACTAATAAGGCAAGCCATTGGCTTGTATTTTTCAAGGAGGAACAGCAGTTTGCGCACAGTTAAGGCGACACATTTATAGCGACATACAAAATTATTTACAAGGACCCACGTTGTAACAATTCTTCACAGCCCGGCAGTTTGATCGTACCAGACCGTCAGATATGGCTGCATCATCCTTATTATGTCCCCTACGCGGTACGAATCAGAGAGCACAATATAATCAGGGTGGCACACCCGCCATAAAGCAGGTACTTAATTTATTTTCTTGAAGAAACAAGAGCCGAAGGAGCGGATGCTATGGGCAGGGATGAAATAGAACGGCTGTGGGAATCCAACGGATGGCAAAAAGCCCAAGTTGGCCTTAAAAATGTCTCTAAGCTTACTTGGACTTTTTGCATAGTCCGTAGCAACGTATTTCCGAAATGATTATTCTCCTGCTACGGACCGTGAAAAAACAGCTAATGGATTGTTCAACTAGGTAGTTTGGTTTTCTTTGTCCGTAGGAAACTGCCGAATTTGTCGAAGCAGCAGAACTGCCTGAACAAATTCAGCAGCTTTCCATCCCGCTATTTGGACAAGAGTGACAAGACCGCCGATTTGGTTATACTTATTGGATACGGGTATTTGCAAAATGCTACCACATACACGGAGTTTCGGAAAGCCAGCCAGAGGTATCCCTAAATACGAGCAAGTAAGCGCAATTTTACCAAGATTGACTTTTTTGCCTTTTATCAGCATTTCAGTAAATATAGCACAGTATATGCTGTTTTTGCGGCGATTTATAAATTACTAACGGAGCCGGACCTATTGTTACAAAATTAATGTTAGAAAGTTAAAGAAAAACAATTTATTTTGATAGATATTTTTATTTTTATCAATATAACTATGGTTAATGTTTATCGTACTGTTTCCGATATTACATTTAGTCTATAGCGACTGCACAGGCAATCCTCGCTCAGGGGACTTTTTGCGTCAGAGACTGGGTATCGAAATTCAGCGAGGAAACGCAGTTTCCGTTCTCGGGCCATTTAGCGATATGACTGAGAAAGAAAGATGCGTATTTTGCGTTTAAATTAGCTGAACGGGAATAAGGTCATGGATTTTTGTTCTTGTTACTTGTTGCAACGGTATGCAACTATTCAATACAGAATGATCGTCTAATATTCATACAATCTGATAACGTCCAAACCGTAATTATTCTCGGTACTTTAGCGAGATGATTGAGAATAATACGGAGGAGGCTATTAAAGTTATATATGCACAGGATGTGCCGATCCCATTTTTACTTCAGCGGTGCCTGTGGGTTGTCGCTGCCTCCGCAATCAGAATAGGTACTGTAGACGACCGGACGGAGTAGCTCTTGTGCCAGAACAAGAGAGAAAACAGATGCGCCATGTAATCTGAGCTGCTACGTGATACTTACGCGGATTGATACACTAGATGACCAGCAAAAGAGTCAGGAGCGGTGGCCCGGGAAGCGGAAAGCCGGAAACGGCAAAATCTGGGTGGAAAAATATTTGCTTCGTCTGTTTGCCGTCGAGAGTCTGGAAGTGATGAGGAAAATAATAGCCTCGATTCGGGTAAATTGGGGGGAAATCCAATATACATCGGGTCGGGGTAACCGTTATGAAAGCCAACACTCCCGCTGCGTTTGGCACTATGCCGGGTAAAAGTAAGCCACGGGATGGTGCAGAATAACTCCGGATCTTGTTGATTATGTTATTCATGTTTGCTGGCACATTTTAGCTGAAGTGGGAGGCAAATATTATTGTTACATGCGGATGGCGCATGTTTAATAAAACTTGCATTAAAATGTTTAATGCCGGCTTCGATTGCCAGCGTTACTATTTAAGCACGTTAATTCACCGGGAAATTATTACCCAGGTTTACAATATGGCTGCAAGATACGTTTCGGCCGTCCTGTTTTTAATCTCTGCACTGGCACGGGATCGCCCAGTAATGCCCCGAAACGGCAACGGACTCTCGCAGAAGCTGCAGCTGAAGCTCTTCCGTACCATACACGCGCCTTTATGTAGATAAGGAAGAAACTGAACTTCGGTGTGAGAATGTCGGTCGCCCAACAAAAGGACGCAGGTGCGCCTAAATTGGCTGCTCATATTGAGGAAATTTTAGGGCTCCTCATTATGCCATGGCATTTATATTCCCCATTTTCCCGAGCAGAATCCACATCTGTCATGTAGGAATGATCATGCGTGCGATGTACGAGGACTAGGAAAAATAAGCTCCTGGATCTGCGAAAAGGATACACGAAAACGGGATACATCAAAACTTTTCGCGTAATATTTTGCAGATCCAGTGGTTAGTTTTCCTAGTAGGCTTTTCGTCGAGAAGTCCATAATTATGCTGAGTGGTTAGTTTTCCTAGTAAGTCCATAATTATGCTGAGGTATGTCGTTATACACAATGTACATACACGTACGTATACATACACATAATATCTTCATATCCCGGCATTAATTCCGCTAAATTGTATATACATCCGCCTATACAGAAAGATGTTACTAAAAGGTTACATAATTATGTTATTTAGCATGAAATAAGCACTACCTTTGTTCAGGTTCTTGTATAGATACAACTGTCCAGAAAAACTCTGCGTAGTGAAGGCTAGGACAGTATTCGCAGAACTTCATTGTCGATATCGCATTATTAAACTGTAGGGATGGCTACATCTCCAGCCGCGTTCGGCCCTTCCTAACGATTCGATCACCATCGACATGAAAATTATAAGATAAATACAGCCGAACTTCGCGACTGCTTTATTCGGCTAGCTCTTTATAAATTGGATTGCTGGTGGTTTTTCTTCGCTTTCTTACAGAGGTTAAGGTTTTTGACTACAGCTGACAGTACCCGTACAATTATGATGGCAGTGATAAAAATAGTGACAATAATGACAGCTCGCAAACGCTATTTGCGTCATCGATTAAAAATCAGGACCTGCAAAATTACATCGGTGCGCCGGCTTAGTCCTCGTCGGCCTTACAATTTTATGGGCCTTGATGTGGCAACCCGGAATCTCGTTTTTATTAATCCACAAAGGCCGCCAAGTGGATTGATAAAGATTACAGTTTATGCAATGTAGAGAAAGTTCCAAATGGCGCCGCCGGCTGCGAACAGGCAAGTGATTTTTTAACATTAATGATACTTGTTACTTATTTATCTACATACTTTGTTCCCCTTCAAGGTTCTCACGGTCTACATATTTCTTATCAATCTATTCTCGTTTATTTTTTATTTTTTTCCAGTCATATTTTCAGTGTCTCCCAAACAGTACTCAATTTTTTTCCATAGATTATGAGTATTGCTCCTGCAATGTTTCTCCTGTCGACCGGCCCAGCATCCGGTACATCGATAACTTTATCAGCGGGATTCCCTGCTTCAGCGCCATTACAATCTCGTGGATGAACTGATGCGTCGGTTAAAGCAAAAAATAAATCTGTTTGAGGCCACGCCCACGGGACCATAGCCGTTAAAAATACTTTTTTTTATTTTTCCAGTGCCTACTCTGTTTTCAGCCAAAAAGCCAAATTTTGCTGATAATGCCTCTGACCGTGTCCTAGTAAGCCAGATTTATGATGAAATAATGTACTAACTGTTGTGTGTGGAGCTAGAATCAGCTACGTAGTAGATTATAATTTCGAAATTTCGGAAACAAAAGACACCGTTAAATCGACAACCGTACTTTTTGAATTAGAAGCTCTGCAGGCTTCTAAGCTTTCCAAGGCGTCCAGGGAGAAGCTTATACAGCAGAGAAGGCTTTAAAATTTTCGAAGGATTTACAGTAGCGCTTTTGCTGAACGATATTTGTAGAGGACGCTTCTATGTAGTACGGAGGAAGCTTCGAGATTTATGTTTGTCAAGGATGTGCCTGTCCCATTTACCTCAGACGATTGCTATGGGTTGTCGCTTGTATAGCCCTTTGTATAGCCCTTGTATAGCCCTTTGTATAGCCCTATACCCTTTGTATAGCCTGCAATCAAGGAAGATAGACTGTATATGCGGCCGGACGGAGTAACTCGGAGGAGGACGTACGGGAAAACAGAATTCTACGTGTACAAGCCGGTCTTGAAAATTGCTGCGTATCGGAAGTTGGAACAGCGAAAAACACAAGTTCATCAGCGGCGCTAATTTGTTGGAGTGGCTGTCGTTTCCAGCGTTAACATCGCGCTTGTTGTGCGCTGCCTGCACCATACGCAGGAAATTTCACGTCAGGCTTGTACGTGTGCTGGTAGTTTAGCGGTTTCATACATTACCCGACTACTCGTACAGGATCAGCAAGTTCAGCAGCGGTGGCCGCGGCAAGCAAGAAGCCGGAAACGGCTCAATTATCGATTCCTGGATGGGCAAATATTTGTTTTATCTATTTTTCGTCGAGACACGGGAGATGAGGGGCCAAGTTGCAAAGAACTACGTACTTTATTTATCTTCTATCTTACGAGTAAGTACTTTTTACCGGTACTGTTTTACCGTCCAAATCGACGTCATCCTGCGCTTTTATTGTCAGTTTTTCGCTACAGCGATCTTAACAGAATCCATACTTTTCCCCAGCAAAAACTTTTACTTATTTCCATGCGATGGTTGCGCGTAATTGAGGAGGGCGTATGTGCAACAAACAACAAACGTTATACAAATACGGAATTCTTACTGTTACGGAACAAGGTCATTCTGTTTAGAAAACTCTGCTGATCAACAGAGCACCGTGTTCGTACCTCGATCGATGATTGTGATATTCGAAATGTTGTGCAACATGTTAGCCATGGGTACGGCACCGACTGAACAAACTCAACAAAGCGCAGTGCAGTGGCCGATTTTTTCCAGTACACCGTAACCATGATCGCTGGACCGAGAGCAAGCGGAGCTAACAATGATCCCGCGCTGGAGCGCTGGAGGCGAAGCACTTCTGGCCGTTAATAAAGGTAAGTTGTTGGATTATATTTCTCCAACTGAACGGGTAAACCTAAGAAGTCTACGGTACATACAGGCAACAAGGCATTAAATGTCAAGATGATTTACAACACACGTGATGAAGTTCACCCTTTTACAGTGTTCCACAAGCCGGCAATGAGATTTGCCGCATGCGGATAATCTGCAGGAAATCCATCTATGGCTTTATTCCATCATGGAAATTTTCATCTTGGAGACAGCAAAATGCATACAATAGGCCACGTTTTTCAGCAGATGCATTATAACATACATCTTAAGGGAGATGCATTACATGTTTCGAGGTCACCTCGAGCACCGATCCAGCAAGGTTATTGTGTTGACTTTTTAGGGACACCTTCTGGGCCACTCAAAAGTTTGTTTCTACCGTAGTTCAATATAGAAATATATTGTTTGTAAACTTTCAAGAGAGCACCCAAAAAAGCACCCTGGAAATAACCATCACACCTTCCCTTTAATTCCCGTCTGGAAGCTGACTGACATGTCAAACGATATCAGTTTTAATGCTGTAAGGGCGGGGCGCTCCGCCCTCCTGAGTAGCTATTCGCTGTTTCTGGGGATTTCCACCCCGCTGCGGGGTGGAAATTGCTGCGCTGTTTTGACGGATCTGCAGCACAGTTGCACTGGCTGCAGAATCCTTCCTTGTTAGTCTGGTGTTGCTGCGCCTCGGTGCGCATCAGATTCGGCATTAAAGCCTCATCCGGGTTCACCGCTGTTCGCTGTCGAGGATACGCGTGGTACCCATACGGCCCCGCGTTATAATGCCGATGTGGAAGTACACATAATAAAAAGTCACACTAGAAAAGTACTTGTTAAGAAAACTTAATTATGTACAAAGATATTTCGTAAATTGTTTTATGCAACCGTCCGGAACTTGGCTTGTCAGGGCTGCAAATAAAGTACGCAGTAGTTTTAAAAAAATTTAATCATATTCCATCAAAAGAATTTCCAGTTAAACGAAAACCGTTGCTCCGAGCTTTGAGCTTGCAGTTCTAAACGGAATCCAACGACAAGGTCTGTTCGCGAGCCGTTGCCTGCTTGAAGGCAAATATAATCTATCATATCCTAATCACTTTTCCTAATTACAAGAACCACGTTAATTCAGAGGTACAACTTATATTTTTATATTTCACTACGCAAATACACGCAATCATCCCATGGAAATAAATATTATTTGGGCTGCAGAAAACGTAACGATCTTGTTGGAACCAGCGCAACGAAAACTCAGGGTAACCATCTCTTGGGAGTAAGATCTGTGTAATATTATGCAGACTTACATACCTCGGGATAATTGTTGATGATTTTCCGCGTAACCTTGCTCCAGATCCGATCCGATCCGAATCCCAATGGCCAGTGCTTCCAAATCGCACAATGCTGTTTGAAAGAATTGCCCACTGGGACTCAGCTGACTCTGCGTATCACACAGTAGTAAAAGAAGGAAATCCAGTACGTAGCGTTTCAGTCTACAACGTAGACTGAAACGCTACGTACTGGATTGCCTTTCCGGCGGCCCAGTCGCCAAACTATCCGTAACTGTTATCAACTACGATGGTGTAGGAATGACGAGGATAAGGGAAAGCAAGAACAACAGGTTTTGGCAGTAGTTTAATAGCGGTCGGTCGATCGATCGTTCGTAAGAAGTCGTTAGAATGGAATTAAATCCCTCCCGTAAACAGTAACAGACTGCCATTTTATAGGCGAAGAAACAATGAGTGTTTAGGTAAGGCTAAATAAAATGGGATAGGTTTTTTGATTTAAGATTACACTCACACAGTTACTGTTACTCATACTACACTTGTACATCATTAGTCACATACGCTATAATACTTACTGTAAATGCCATAAAAAATAGTCGCTCGTTAAACGTCTGTTTTACCTTCAGTTTGTTACCGTGACGATATTACGTACTTTTCATTTTGTTAGAGCTATCAGCTATGCTCGTTTTAAAGACTACGCCGGTACGCTGTTTGATCGTACGGTCATACTGTAACAACAACTTCGCGTAATTTCACTAAATTTTGATTTTGCGGGCATTCCGGTTAATCGTAGACTTTGGCAGCAGTCGAGCACTGACGAAACCAACACCCGGTTGCGGTAGGCCGAACCAGCGCTGAACCAAAGTATTCGTCATTTCGAATTTGTGATGTACGTATCTGCTTATTTGTGAGAAATGACTGTGAAATTCATACAACTGAATTAATTTGACAAACTGGTCGTTAGCACATGTTAGAAGATGTTCATTTCGGCACCAGTCCACCAGTTAAGTACATGCGGTTAAGTAGTTACGCTAGTGCTCCGGAGCTGCAAAAATCTGCAGTTAAAAGTACCGGTCGGTAACTGTAGATTCTGGCAGTTGTCAAAACTTACTACAATGCCGGCAAAATCAAAAATATTATAACTGATAAAGCCTGTACTGCAGTCTGCAATGTACTCTGTAGTGTATAAGATTATTAAGATGACATCATTAACGCGTAAACTTTCATTCAAGAAAATTTTTTTGTTTGGTCACGCCCTGCTGACGACAGCAGCTAATAATATTTTTTTAAACATACAGCTACGGCAGTATACTACGTTGAGATGAAAAAATGAGACAATTTCTCAATTTCGAGCCGGCCTATGCGCCCTGGTCGGATAGGCATATACGCTACCGCTTAAGCGGATTCGGCATGATAATATATATTCAGCAGTGCTTTCTGCACCACCCATTCCTCCGTGTTGGGGTCCGCACGCACCCAGCACTCCACGACGCTGGGGTTGGGTCCTAGGCGGAGTGTGGCCCACAGGTGCAGCGTCTCCTCGCAGACGGCGGGCCCAGACTCTGAGCAAGAATAGTTGTGCTGCAGCTCGGCGTGCAGCCACCGACCGGGCTCCAGGTGGAGAACGCGCTGCAGCTGGTGATCTTTGGGGATGTACAGAAAGGCCCCTCGCGCTGCACCCGTGATAGTGGATGATCAGCAGTACTCCATACAAATTGTCGACGAAGCCAGTTACTTGTCCATACACAACGTCTCACGCTTTTCTGCCGGTGTCGTGGAGTGCCTGCGTCCTTGCGGCGATGGCCAACGTTGTCCGGTTAAACACTTTACGCTGCAGCCGAAACTGCGCCCGGCCGACGTCTTCATCGGGCAGATGGCCAACGTGTCCACGTTCACAATCACTAAAGCTGCGTTTAGATGCCAAACTAACCTCCGCTGTTGCCCCAATGGGGCGAACCATTTCATCTGGTGCCGTTCCGTTAATCAGGTGGTTCTGATGCCGCCAGACTAATTTGTGAGGGTCACAGTGATGGCAGCGGAACACCGCGGTCTCTCCCGTCAGAACACGCACGGTATCCGGGGAGAGTGTTGTATTCGTCTGCTGCGGTAGTTCGACGCGACCGTGGACGCTTTCTTCTTGGGCAGCCACAACCGCGTTATACACTAGAACGACAATTGCCAATTACGCTTTTCAGCCTGCTTCGTAATTTGAGCAAAAAACAATATTTCGTTGGAAAATAGTAATCTGACAATCCAATCTGAATTACCAAGTTAAAAAGTCATTTATTGCAAGTCAGTACTTAAACGCGCTTGCTGGCGCTATACATATTATCCAGGACAACTGTATGTGTGATATGTATTGGTGAAAGTTAAAATTTAATAACATTTTGATGTTAGGAAGCGGCTGCATGCCAAGAAATATTTATATTTACACTTAACTTCCTAATAGAACTCAGTAAGCATCTGTTAGTTTTATGTAAACTTTTAAAATGGCGCTGAAGTAAAAGTCCGTGGATGCGTCAATACACAGATACTATAAATCGTATTGCTTACGCAAAATGTCCTCTTCTTCACGTTTGGTGTTCTTCGCCGAACTACAACTCAAAGCTTTCGCCAGCAGTAATGTCGCAATAAGCACGATACAGATTTTAATTCGTCTTTCAAGATCGTATAAGCTGCACACCGGATGCCCCAGTAAGCTGGCCGCACACATCATGACTATTATTCATAACAAATAAATTATGGTAGTAACATGATAATCTGATGAATTCTCCACGATTTACATTATATCCATTTCCGGGATCACGATTACGTCTTGCAGTAAATGCGAGCGTAGGTAATTTAAGGGACTTTCGCTGTTTATTACCGTAGTTCTGAACTGCTTCGATCCACACTTAAAATCTCGATTCAGGCTTTCTAAAACTATGACCAAGAAACATCGGATTTCAATTGCAGGGTCTCTATCAGTTAAGTACTGTTAAAATGTTGGTCTCTCGTTCTCTGCGTGATAGGTTGTCAATTTGCGGGCCCGTGCTCAAACTCGGACTTGGACTCGGACTTGGACTACTAAAACTTGGACTTGGACTTCACTTGGACTCTAAAACTTGGACTTCACTTGGACTCTAAAACTCGGACTTCACTTGGACTCTAAAAATTGGACTTTATGACATGACTTGGAATTAGGCGTTTCTTATGTTTCTTCGTGTTTTCTTAGGTTTCTTAGGTTTCTAGGTTTCTTAGGTTTCTTAGGTTTCTTAGGCTTCTTAAATTTCTTAGTTTTCTTAGGTTTATTACGTTTCTTAATTTTCTTAGGTTTCTTAGGTTTCTAAAGTTTCTTAGGTTTCTTAGGTTTCTCAGAATACCAAAGAATACTTAGATAACCTAAGAAATGTTATTAACCTCAGAAACCTAAGAAACCTAAGAAACCTGAGAAAACATGAAGAAACGTAAGAAGACATGAGAAACGCCTGTATCCAAGTCGAAGTCTTAGTAAAGTCCGAGTTTTAGAGTCCAAGTGAAGTCCAGGTCCAAGTTTTAGTAGTCCAAGTCCGAGTCCAAGTCCGAGCTTGAGCGCGGGCCCAATTTGCGGACGATTACAGACACATCACGTGTAGGTAACTGCCATACGACGCGATCGAGCACATTAAGCCGTTTGTTGTTGTGGGTTGGCTCGTGTCCTCGTATGTACCATTTATAACTCCCGGGACCTGCAACGTGACAAAGATGCTTGGCGAATAATGCTACGAGTCGCTTCTCATTCTTCGCTTGAGGCGCAAGACCGTAACCAAATTTTCGTCCACTTATTCCTCTGACAGAAGCAGAAAACGCTGGTAGTTTAGCAAACTAGCAGGATTGCGCAATTTAGCCCAAGGTAGCGTAATATCTGGCATCGCTCCATCCTTATAATTTTTCTGGTAGAAATGCTCCTGGACAAAAACATTTACAAAACACGTGCAATAGAAATACGAATAAAAAACATACAAACGAGTAAAAACAGACTTGTGAAACTATAATCACTTTGCTGCATATATTCGTTAAAGGTCAACCATCAAAATCTTCTTCTTTCGACGATTCAGCGCACTCACTCAGCAGACTTGCGACGTTTGTGGTGAGCCTCACAGATCAAATTTGAATTCTTTTGCATTTTGCAGATTCTAGCAAATATAGTAGCTATTTTTATAACACAGTATTTGCAAAAAATATTGAGATTTTCATGCGACACTGCCCCTAGACATTCGGTTGCTACTGCGGCAAATTCCCCGCCAACCTTAACGAGGTCTCCAGTCTCTTCACTCTACAGCTTCCCAGGCATCGTCGCCTGGTCCAGCCTTGACCACAACGACGTCGCCTCCCTGAAGGGTATCATCCTGCCGCAGGAGCCCTGCTGCTTCTCCTTCGGCTGCGTTCCTGGCGTAGTCTGTACCGTACGCTGTAATGAACTTGGCATCACGTTGGACGGTTTATGTTGAGCAAGGCTTTTTGCACCACCCATTCCTCCGTGTCGACGTCTGCGCGCACCCAGCACTCCACGACGCTGGGATTCCGCCCCCACCGGAAGCGGGCGCCAAGAAATACCGTCTGCTCACAGAAGGCTGGCTCGGACTCAGAGCAAGAATAGTTTTGCTTCCAATCGGAGTGCAGCCAGCGGCCAGGCCCCAGATGGAAAACGCGCTCCAGCAGATGACCTTTAGGGACATATAAAAAGCCCCCTCGCGCTTTCCAAACGAAATGTTTTCCTGTGTCAGGACAGCAACGGAAGTTAGCTCGGCACTTAAACTCCCCTTTCACGCCCGCGACCGTCGTCACGTTGTCCATCTGCCCGATGAAGACGTCGACCGGACGCAGTTTCGGCCGCAGCGTAAAGTGTTTGACCGGACATCGTTGACCATCGCCACAAGGACGCAGACACTCCACGCTGCCGGCGGAGAAGCGCGAGACGTTGTGTATGGACAGGTAACTGGCCTCGTCGACAATTTGCACGGAATACTGCTGGTCCTGTACTACCACGGGCGCAGTCCCGATAATCAAGTTATCCTGGTGACGCCACAGTAGCTTGTGAGGTTCATAGTGGAAACAGCGGAATACGGCGGTTTCTCCCGTCAGAACACGCACGGTATCCGGTGAGAGTGTTGTGTTCGTCTGTTGAGGTAGTTCAACACGTCCGTCGAAGTTTTTTTCTTGGGCAGCGACAACCGCGTTCCATACTGAAGCAACAAATTTATATGATTACTCCTACACGCCACGCGACAACGACGATAGTGGGCTCGGAATTTTACTTCCTTTGGGCAAATATGCCGAACATGGCCGGAAACGGCCCCAAGCCATCACACGAAAAAAAAACAGAAATTTTTTACTGCGACAAGTGACACGAGTTAGCGTTGTAACATTCTCTAATTTATACCCTTCACATGAAGATCTAACCAAGACAGACCGAACACAACCAAACACAGCTGGAGACAGAACACAACCAAAAGGGGCGTATCGTGTGTCGTAATACCCGGATTCCTTGGTCCCGCTGAATCCGTCCCATTACTCCTACACGCCACGCGACAACGACGATAGTGGGCTCGGAATTTTACTTCCTTTGGGCAAATATGCCGAACATGGCCGGAAACGGCCCCAAGCCCAAACCCAAGACAAAACACAAAAAGAAGGACGTGATGAACCAGTGCAGCGTGGTGGAGGGCCATCGTTAATGCTGCGTTTGACGTAATGTGCGGGAGGATAAATTCTTTGAAAATTTGGTAAACTAGTTAAACACGACAATGGAAACTGTTTCGGCGGAATTCACGCCGAACAGTACGGCAAAGGGAGGCGTATACGACGCAGTCGTATAGGTGAAGCGGGCTGCCAGAAAATCCTGACGCATCCCGCGGGACAATGCAAGGCAACTAATGGCAAGGAACTTTTGTGGACAATCTGGGAATTCCGCAGATTGGCCAAATCAACGCAACTCAAATTCCGTACCATGTACGGAAGGCTAAAAGCACATAAGCGGATACACAAGACGGTAACGGCAGTCGGCAATGGAGTATACACGATGCATGTAGAAGACGTGCACAATAAGGAAAGGAGACACACTCAGGCAGCAGATCCGGGAAAAAGTAATGCATGCAAGTCGGTCATGATGGTGTGCGCGTTGACGGACAAATGATGAACCTTTGCCTAAAACAATTGAACGGACGCGATGAATCCGGGTCAAAGGAAAACTCAAAGGCAGTATGCGGCAAAAAGTAGACAGAATAACCCATCCAGGAACTACGTAGAATACAGAGGTCATACGGAATCGAGCTCACTTTGCGCTGGAAGCCGGTTGTTCGGTGCAGGCGGTGGCGCGATGGTCTTTCCGGCAGAATCCGCAGATGTGTGGATACCGACAAGGGACGTCCCGGCAAGGTCTGTGTTCGTTGAAATTAAAGCAGCAGTAGTTCGGAAAGGGAGGTTCCCGGGTGCTTAAATGCTTGGCCCGAACCAAATTACCTTAGGCTGCAAAACTTGAGAACCCGAGGTACGGCGGGAATCCGCCGAAAAATACCCATCAGCCGTGCAGTCGCGACGCGAGGTGTCAGAAAGGTCAAACTTCTCAATCTCGGCTTCTTCACGGAATTCACAATCAAACGCAACAACAGCTTCGTCGTCATACATACAGCGTTTGCGAGACAAGTAAACCTGGTATTCCAGGAACTCGATGAGTACTGGTAAGGCGTTGGTCTTCCGTGCGAGGTCTAAGGCGGCCATAATGTTGCCGGCAAATAGTTCATCGCACGAAATTTCATGCGGCTTAACGTCTTTAGCAGCCTTGTGAGCTGCCTTCACGAAAGGCAGCGTATGCGGTCGGGGAAGGTTACGGGCTAAAAGGGACGTGCGGGTGCCGTTGGTGGAACTGCGGTGCGTGCTCGACGGGCTGCCTGAACTTTCGTCATCCGAGGCTGACTGGCGGGCTTTGTCGGTGCGCGTTGGTAAACGGCTCGGACGGAGAGGACCATTAACAGTGGAGGCGGTAACAGGAGAAGAGTTGACCACGTGCTCCAGTACAAAGATCTCGAGCTGGTTGCGGTCGCGGATGCTGGTGATAAAGGTCAGGTTCTCGGGGAATTTCTTGACTTTCCCCAGCAAAATAACATCGTCGATGGAGTTGTATCCGTTGTCGAAAAGCTGTGAAACCGACGCCGCGGAAATTCCGATAGCTGTAGCCAGGTCTGAGGGTGAGTCACCTTTACCTGCTGCAGCTTCGGTTTCCGATTCCAAAGGTTCATCTGGGCGGAGTAAATCATAAAGCCGCTGAACAAGAGCTGGTTTCAGCTCGTCAAAAACTTGCTCGCCTTCAACTTGGACAATGAGCTGCTTGATCTCTGGAAGGTTCAAGCGGCCCAGTTGCTTCAGACTGAACGTGCGAGCTTGTTCGAGAGTCACAGACATGACAGATAATTTAACGTAAAAGGAACGAAAAATGTTTAACGATCAGTAATATGGACGGAAATTTTTTACTGCGACAAGTGACACGAGTTAGCGTTGTAACATTCTCTAATTTATACCCTTCACATGAAGATCTAACCAAGACAGACCGAACACAACCAAACACAGCTGGAGACAGAACACAACCAAAAGGGGCGTATCGTGTGTCGTAATACCCGGATTCCTTGGTCCCGCTGAATCCGTCCCATTTAACGAAAAAAAAAGGTAGTTCAACAAAATTCAACTGAGGTAGTTCAACACGTCCGTCGAAGTTTTTTTCTTGGGCAGCGACAACCGCGTTCCATACTGAAGCAACAAATTTATATGATTTAACGAAAAAAAAACCACCCCATAATGAATCTCACAGCGCATTTTTATCACTACACTACCGAAAAAATTGTTAAGTTAAAATGCGCGCTAACATGGTCGCCCGAAAAATCTATCCGCACACTTTATAAGATTTAAAAAGATTTATGAGATCTGATTTATGAGATGCAGTTCAGATCGCGAACCTAAAAGCTTCTTTGGCGCAGAAGTAAACTTCCGTTTGATCGATAATACGTGCAAAATCACAGCACTTACGCAAAATGTCTTCTTCTTCCTGTTTGTTCTTTTTTTCCGTCGGACTGCAACCCAAGGTTAACGTAAGCAGTAGTGCTACATTTAGCACCGAAAGGATGCGGGTTCGTTTTGCGAGGTCACATAAACTGCTCACCAGCATAGCTTCCTTCGTCATAACAAATTATGGTGTAATCGTAATAATCATAATACTCGAAATAATCGTAATAATCATAATAATCGTAATAATACGTAATCTACGGTACGATACATACATACGATACATACATACGATACAAACATACGATCCAAGGTATACATAGGATGTTTATTTAGCAGCACATGCTCCGCTTTAGCGTTTAGCATCCGCTGTTACGCATCCGAATTTTCCATCGAACCCAGTTTCAGGGTCATTTTCAAACTTGGAACTTTGAAAAATTGCACTACACATCATAACTGCACTGCAGAACAGCAATTTTCGGAAAAATTAGTTATGCTAATGTCTTGGGTGATTGTTTTTGGGTGCGTTTCAATGTTTAATGTTTGATCGCTCTTATTAGTGCATATTTGCGCAGGTGTATATTTTGGGGAAATTGGCTGTCGCCGAATAAATACACGTATGTAGCTGCTCGCGGGATCAGTCCTTATCAGTGTAGAAAGATCCATGGAAAGCTGGCTGGTGCTTGTGTTCTGCAGCATCATAGCCATTTTGGCGGCGACCTCGAGTGCGTACTGCTGAAATAATCGCGACCTTGGATGCTAGCCATTGGATTGCACATTATGATTACGGAGTTGTGTATTTTATTAAGATGAATGGAGTTAAAGCGTGTGAAACATCCAGTGTATCTGTACGTTCTAGATGACCTCGAAAAAACGTATTAGCATCTGTTCCGCCCTAATAGCGACACTACTGTTTGCGCAAACCTTGGGCTGTAGTCCGGCGGAGAGGAGGACAAAACAAGACGAAGAGGACATTTTGCGTAAGCACTGTAATGACACAGTTTGCATACTGCCAAAAACGAAATCGTGTTTCAGCGTTGGTTACGGAGTTAACTTACTACAGCCGCCCTATCAAATAAAAGCACAGTGTGGTCCAGGGATAGTTGCACACACATTGCTTGCTGCCCAAGCTCGTGTGTTCTGTTTTGTTTTCTATCCTTTTCATCAGTTTTAATTAAAATGCAATCGTAAACTGTGTATGGAGCTTTTCTGGGAGACAACTTTGCCGTTTCAGTGTGGAACGCAGTGCGAGGCGCCCAAACAGAAAGCGTTGATGGTCGTATTGAGCTACCCCAAAACCAGTCTTCTACACCCTTACCGGATACCGTGCGTATTTTGACGGGAGAGACCGCCGTATTCCGCTGCTATCACTATAATCCTCACAAGCTACTGTGGCGTCACCAGGATAACCTGATTAAAGGAACTGCGCCCGTGGTAGTACAGGACCAGCAGTACTCCATACAAACTGTCGACGAAGCCAATTACCTGTCTATACACAATGTCTCGCGCTTTTCCGCCGGCAGCGTGGAGTGCCTCCGTCCCTGCGGCGATGGCCAACGATGTCCGGTCAAACACTTTACGCTGCGGCCGAAACTGCGCCCGGCCGACGTCTTCATCGGACACATGCCCAACGTCACGACGCTCACCGGCGTAGATGGCACGTTCAAATGCCAGGTGAACTTCCGCTGCTGTCCCTCCGCGGAGGACCACTTCATCTGGAAAGTGCGAGGTGGCTTTGTATATCTGCCCGAAGGTCATCTTCTGGAGCGCGTTGTCCACCTGCAGCCAGGCCGATGGCTGCACGTGCACCGAAAGCAAAACTATTTGTGCTCGGAGTCTGAGCCGGCATTCTGCGAGCAGACGTTGTTTGTGTGGGCCCGCCTTCGTTTTGGACCAAATCCCAGCGTGGTCGAGTGCTGGGCGCGGGCGGACGTCGATTCGGAGGAATGGGTAATACAAAAAGCGTTGCTGGACATAATTCGTCCTTGAACGGTCCTTCATATTTCGCGCGGACGTTTTTATTCTAGTGTTTCGATTGTTAAATGTTGCTAGCACAGAGCCTGTGAAACCGCAGTGCTCTTTTTCCCGATTCTGAGCAACGCAACTCTGTTTTTACTACTTTTTATTTGTTTACGATCACATGATTGTTGGAGCATGTTCAGCCGACCTGCATTATTACGTTCTTGAGTGATACAGCCTACAGATAATGTTGACCGACTCACCCAGTGCGATTTTGTTTGTGAAGATATTGTCTCCAACTAGTAAGTACTGTGGTATAAGAAAGGACAGTGAGACAATCTTCGATTTTTGTGTGCAATGCAGAATTGTAGAGATTATCAACATGCTGCAGTAGGGCAGCACGAAACCCTTCCCGGGCCCTATCCAAACCGGTCGTGATTTTAAGGCAGCGTGGCCAAAAAGTGCATATCTGGGAAGAGGAACCTAGCATACCTATCTCCAAACGATCAGATTGCATGTTACGGAACGATTACCAACGGCTTGTCCTTTCGCATCGGGAACGCCCACTCGCAGTAGATCGTCAGCGGGGTCATGGAGTTGATGCGGGTTTCCAGTACGGTGAAGAGCAGTTCGGCCCTCGATGGACTGCTGCAGAGGAAGATCGGATTCCGCACTGGAGGAATTGTCGCCGCGTCGGACAACTGCTTATACTTTCGTCGCTATTTTTCTCCAACACGAAGTAAGTCGTTCGGAATTCTCTCCGAAGATTCCGTGATACGGTTAACCAAAATAGATAGAATTAGAGCGGCGATCTTGAAAAAAGTCACGTACCGCCGGTTCTTCGAACACCATCGTGTAGTTGGCCCGGTCCTCGATGCGCACGGATGGCATGGTGAAAATGTCCAGACTATAATACAGTAAATGCGAGCGATGGCGGGGAAATCTCTCGTAAGCAGAATCTCTCCGTTACGCTTATTAAATAAAATTAGCGAAATTATGCCGTTTCTGCCAGACTGAGAAACGTCATAACCAGCTGATTGCATTTTAGTATAAAAGCGAGCGTACAATTTTTGCCACACTAGAAAAACCTTTTTTTTACAAGCGTCCCCCAAAAAATCGGTTTTTGCGCAGACACATGCGTGCGCTTCGTATCGACTCAAAATACGAGTAACTTTGTTGCAGTTAAAAGGCTTACTTAAACGTGATGGAATACGAAAGCTGTTCTAAATCGTAAAACCGTTTTTTCAAAACCATTTTATTGTAACGGTGTCGCTGGAAACGTAAGAATCCTCCCGTGACGTTGTACAGGGTGGCCATCCGGGCGTTCAGTATGCGCCAGGCGACAATCAAGTAGAAATGGTAAAACTGTATTATCAGGGCCAAGAAGGTCATGCTAAGTGGTGGATGCGCCATAGGCGAAGGCTGCGCAATCACCGCTCGTTGCAAATTTTTTCGGAAGAACATATGCATATGGAGATACCCATGGGGTTTCCACTACAACAGGAACACCACGGATCTGGCCGACTGCACACATGACTGACCTGGTCACACAATGTTTTGTCCGCATATCGTCGTCTGTTATTGGTTTCGATTTAACAGCCTGCATTACAAATGGGTCTAGGCTTTATACTTATTATTTTATATTACGTACTAATTCTCTCTATTAGCAAACGGTAAACGGATGTCGCGGTGTGCGTATACACCGCCTACCACCGTTGGGAAATGTCCACACCGCAGTTAATACTGTACGTACATGCTGTTACTATGTACGTACTGTTATTACCGAGTCCTGCCGTGGTGGCCCGTGCATAATCTGTACTGTATGGTAAGTACTTCCTTACAGTACGCTTACGACTCATTTAAAATTTGATGATGGCTACGGTATGCATCCATGGAAACGAACGGAATGGGGCGACTGTCAGATTTTCCGTTTACAACAGACTGCCCGTGATACGAACATGAGTCCTGACACAATACCGTAGTGCCGTCTGCATGCTTCACAATATTTCCCACCGCCTGGATTTTTTAGCCACGGTTTTAGTACTGTAGCACGGTACCTCACCTGTAGATTAATCTTTCTATAAGCCTTTCATACAATCAAAACAATTCCGTCCGGTACAGGAGGCGCCCTAGATTCAGCACGCTAATGTGACAATCATTCAGTGCTCCACTATTTCCTGACCTTTTGACGCATTGCCTGGGCAGTTAGTTTTATTCCAGAGAATCGTGACGCAAAAAGCCTTGTGATCAGTTTATCACTGTTTCTGTGTTGGATAATTTCCACCGCAAAAATAATGGTAAACTGATTACAACGTTTAAAACGTCATTTATCTAAGTGGTCTACATAACTCGAAATACCTAACTCGAATCACATAATTTCGCCGCCCATGCTGGGCGCCGCCCTATCGTGGACTGCAACGATCGCATACCGCCGCCCATAAAAATGGGTATCTCGATGCGGCAGAGGGGTTGGTGCGCCCTGTGGGTCGAGCACCACCCACAAGTCTTTGGTGGCAGCTGAGCTACCTGGGCCTGGGCTGTTTGTGTCCGGGTGGCGAAGAGCCGGACGCGGGCTCTCTCACCCTCAACGGTGCCATCCCCATCCTGTCCAACCGCGTCCTCACCATGACGCACTGCCGGCCAGTGCCGGGACGCCGATCTCTGCAAGGGGAATCTGTACACGGATTTTACCGACAAAAGTTTCGGCGGAGGCGGCACAAAGATTACCACAGTGAGTGAATGCCCCGACGGCGTAAAAATTAGGACAAAAAAAAGTTTTTTCCGCCACATATTCTTGCTTTCAGTGCATCCCGGTGATTCTGAAGATAATACAAAGCGTTTGAGGTAAATAGTCACTTCGGTAGCGCATTAATGCCGTTTCACACACTCTAAACTCTGTGTCAATTGTCGGCTGCAATGCTCTGCTGTTTTTCACATAGCAGTCAATCTTTCACAATTCACATCTTGTTTATCTTAATTTGCGGGAATAGTACCGTATTACTTTCTCTCGCTGTATTATAACACGTGTCATTTGGTTTTTGCTAAAACAACTGATTCTCTGCAACTTGCAGCAGACAGAATAAAGGTATTACTCGGATGAACGAACTATATTCAGCAGTGCTTTTTGCACCAGCCATTCCTCCGTGTCCACGTCTGCACGCACCCAGCACTCCACGACGCTGGGATTCGGGCCAAAACGGAGGCGGGCCCCAATAAATAACGTCTGTTCACATAAGGCTGGCCCAGCCGCAGAGCACGAATAGTTTTCTTCTAGGTGTGAGTGTAGCCATAGGTCTGGTCCCAGACTGAGGACGCGCTCCAGCAGATGACCTTTAGGGATATTTAAAAGGCTACCTCGTGCTTTCCAGATAAAATGCTTGGATCCGTTAGGACAGCAGGGGAAGTTCACTTGGCACTTAAACTGTCCTTTCACGCCGGTGAGCGTCGTCACGTTGTCCATCTGTCCGATGAAGACGTCGGCCGGGCGCAGTTTTGGCTGCAGCGTAAAGTGTTTGACCGGACAGCGTTGGCCATCGCCGCAGGGACGCAGACACTCCACGCTGCCGGCGGAGAAGCGCGAGACGTTGTGTATGGACAGGTAACTGGCCTCGTCGACAATTTGCACGGAATACTGCTGATCCTGTACTACCACGGGCGCAGTGCCGTTAATCAGGTTATCCTGGTGACGCCATAGTAGCTTGTAAGGTTCATAGTGAAAGCAGCGGAATACGGCGGTTTCTCCCGTCAGAACGCGCACGGTATCCGGTGATCGCGTTGTGTTCGTCTGTTGAGGCAGTTCGACACGTCCGTCGACGCTTTCTTCTTGGGCAGCGACAAACGCGTTCCATACTGAAGCAGCAAAGTTACCGGTATATGATTTGACAAAATCATGCTGCCTCATAATACAATGAACCTGATAGCGCCTTTTTATCACCACACTACCAGAAATTTGTTCAGTTTAACATGCACGCTAAAACGGTCGCTCAAAAAATCCGTCCGCACAATTTATATGATTTTAATGCATTTCAGAGCGCGAAATTAAAGCTTCTTTGGCACAGAATAAAATTGCGTTTGAATCGATGATACATGCATAAGGGCAAGAGCGCAAATCACAGGACTTACGCAAAAGGTTTTCCTGTTTATTCTTTTTTTCCGCCGGACTACAGCCCAAGGTTAACGTAAGCAGTAGTGCCGCTGTTAGCGCCGAAATTATGCGGATTCGTTCTGCGAGATGATGTAAACTGCTCACCGGCTCAGCTTCTTTCATCACAACAAATTACGGTGTAACTATAATATACAATCTAAGGACAATAATCCAAGGTCACGAACATTTTAGCAATATGTGCTCGAGGTCGTAATCGCTGCTGGAAAATAGATACACCAGCCACATATCTATCTATCCAGACTTTACAGATCCATTGGTAACTGTATTACAGAGATTCCGGGAGCAGGCTGGCTTCAAAACCTTGAATTCTTAATCGGACAACTGCTTTTACCGGTGATTACAGAGCATCCATGTATCTGTACGCGATTCTTTGTAATTGACATTTGGTATTTTCTAACCAAACTTTGCATGCAACCTCAAGAAACTTATGCTGAACAGAGCAACAATCCACGCACTACGTACTTAACAGCTGCACGGGTTCCGCCGGACGCCTGCCACTTAAGAACGTGGCACCATTCGCTCACAAGAGCATTTCGCAGACACAGCATGCAAATGCTCGCACTCGTACTGTATCCGCTCGCACATCTTGAACCACAGAGTCCGTGTACGGGAAAAACACGCATTCAATATACACACTCTAACCGGGCAAAATGCACGACTACGAAATATTCCTCATTTGGTTTCAAGATGAACAGTTCTTCTTGTGAATTTGTTTATTAAATCAAGTCTTTTCATTTAAATGGCAATTCACTCTGGAAAAAAAAGGTTCTGTAGCTGGAAGCTCGCATTGTTCGGTGGTTCATCGCCATCAAGAATGTTGACGCGGAACGTACCCCTCCCCCTCCAGGGGCACCCCAAAAACCACAACAAAATCTGTTTGTAACTCGTGCTTACGCCAAAGCTGTATGTTAATGGCTGCTTTCGAGCCTAAACATGATAAAAATTGTTAGAGCTCTAATTTTTTTCATTATTCAAGAAGTTCTCCAGTCCAGATGTTGTAAGACATCAGAAATTTATCAAATCGCGAATCGCGCGTTTGGCCCGGTTAGAGTGTGTATATTGAATGCGCGTTTTTCCCGTACACACACTCTGTGGTCCAAGATGTGCGAGCGAATACAGTATTTGCACGCCGACCTTATGTGTAATGTGCACGTAGACAGCAGACAACCCGTTGAGCATCGTCTGGCGCGATTTCTCCTTCTGCTTCTTCGTGGTGGTCTCATCAGCAAACTCGTTCTCTTCAGGTTTCTTCTCCCTGATGGCCGTCGGGGTTCCTTCCGTTTTCACACCAGTTAAATCAAAACGTCTTCCTCTCGCTCCATCGACTCTTCTTTCCACAGTTCTGCACGCTTTTCGCCCTACCACATGCATCACGAATTGTAACAGCGTCCAAGCAGAGAACTCATCTGATCGTTTCAGGTATGGCCCACAACTGTTTACCATCATTTTCAGCATCCCTTACGTTTTCTACATTCGCGTGGTCAAGGACCGCCCCTTTATTCTCCCCATTCCGCCCTTCCGCGAATCGGCCAAGCGACGCGCCCGGTACGCCATCATGTCGTAGTGGAACTGCTCCTCCAGGGGCGCCAGTTCCGTGTCTTCCAGCACGTCCCGCACGATGAAGCACACGATGACGCCTTTACCTTTGACGAAGACTTCTCCGTTCTCCTGTAGCTCGAAATGCTCCGACAGAAGCTCTTTGGTCATGGCGCTGCATCGCACCGTCATCTCTACAGAGCCGTATCATCATCATGGATAAAAATTGTACTTAATTGGTTAGCTGTACGTGCCTTCCGCGGTTTCCAGCATGCGCGTGCAGATCTGCGCCGTTTCCCCGAACAGGCAATAACGGAGAAGCACGTGACCGACGACTCCGCCCACACAAGGACCTAAAAATAAAGACAGTGCTTATTTCTTACTAAAGAATGTTTGTGACCTTTAGTCAGATCATGGGTGGGTGCACAAATTACCGGAATTAATGCCGCTTGTTATTCGTAGCACTTCATTTGGACGATGCCGGATCTTAAACTGCAGCGACGTGTACAGCATCCCAAGTGCTGCTTTGACAACCTGTTCGCCATGGATATGGCCGTTTCTGATGGGTGCGCCGGAAACGATCTGTAACAAATCCAGCCGCTTACTGACGTCTGCCGAAAAAGTGTCGCCGCTAACGTACCGTTCCAACATTGTCATGAAAATCCACTTTCAAGCATCCCTGTCGCGCCACATGTTCTTCCAGAAAATGATGAAAATCCAGCAGGAACTCGGTAATTTGCAGTGCCGTGGAATCCGCAGTGATCCGTGCAAAGTTATCAATGGCCACCAGCATAATCGTACAGGATTCGAACGTCTCCGGTAGAATCTTCTCCGCGCGTTTCAAGCGTTCGGCCACAACTCTACAAACCGAACGCGCCATGACCTTTACAGTTTGTACTTAACATCTGCTTGATTACTTTGGTATTATGTCGCCTAGAAGCTCGTCGCTCTGGGTTTTCTGCTCGAGCAATGTTTGGCTGCGTTCCTCGATGATCTGCTGCAGGTTCGTCATGAGTTCTTCCATCTGATCGAGCAAAGTATCCAGGATGCTGCCCTTTTCACCGAAACCCCTACCAAAAACCAGTTAATGGCTGACATGTAAAACGGACTCTATAAAGGTCACGTACAGGTGCTTGCCGAGATCCTTCATCATGACCTTAACCTGCAGGATACTCGGACGGTCCGCCGGGCTCTGCGTCCAGCAACGATGCGCCAGTTCTACCAGCGTAGAATCGGCGTGCTCTTCCGTAAGGGTCGGACGGAATGCGACGTAGGATTCGTCACCAGATGGTGCCGGTCGTTTTAGTTCGTCCACGATTTCTACGTTTAAAAGCCAGATTTTCAGCCAGTCGAATGACATGAAAACAGCAGCAACTAAAGAGCTGCTGATTGTCTTCACCGCTGTTTATACCTTCAGCACTCATGGCACCGAACATCCCAAACGGCGGCATCCGCAACACCGTTTCCTGGAGAATAATCCCGAAACTGTAGATATCACTGGCTTTGGAGGGAGCGCGGGAATTCCCATGAACGCTATAGTCGCTGCGCAGCCGCTCCGGAGCCATCCACAGCATGCGAGCATAGAAGGAGCTGTCCCGTTTTGCCGCCCACATCTCGGCCACCGACAACTCGAAGAAGCTGTCCAGTCCACAGTCGGCAATTTTCAGTCCGAAGCGCATATCGATGAAGCAGCAGTGCGATGTTAGTCGGCCGTGGCAACCCAGCGGACTCTGTTGAATGTACGCCAGGCCTTTAACGATGTCGTGCAGCAGCGAGTAGCGAATGGTCCAGTCGACTTTATGCAGGACATCTAACAGCATCTCCTAAAGACCAAAGCAACCGAGTAACAAATACACCATACAGTCGAAATTTCAGTGGCTTAAAAATTGACCAATCACAGCACCGCTCGGCGTGCGACGGCAAAAAGCGCCTATGTCATCGCACTGATACTAACATGTCGTTACGGATGTTAAAATACCGCCCTGATACATCAGTAGAGTTATATTACACACTGGAAATTCCTAGTTAAAAACTCAACCAATCAAAGCGGAGCTCGAATTACGACTGGTTTCAACGCGGCAAAAGGCATCTGACCAAGCATGCTGCTGCCCAGTGCGACCGTACCGACAGTGAGCCTTTCGAGCAGTACTCGTAGATGATCATCACGTGATCGGGATCCAGACACGCCCCTTCAAACAGCGCCACATTCTCATGCCGTAGCGTCGTGGCGGTGTTGATCTCGTTGACCAGACGGCGGGTCAAGTGCAGCCGGTACTTCTTGCTCAGCCGGCCCATGAAGAGCTTGCGGTTCCAGTAGATCCCGTACGGCTGGATGTGGCCGTACAGCGCCGTGTCCTGCGCCTGGACGTCGCGCACATCCGCCCGGTCCTTCTCCGTCGCGCACTCCGCGTTGAGGAACTTGATGGCTTCCTTTTTGGCGCTGGATTCGCGGATGCTGTCGGGACTGGGCAGCGTCAGGTCGTTCCAGCGGGCAATCCACGAGTGGCGGACCTTGCGCTCGATGTGGGCTTGTGCGAAACAGCAGTACGCGATGCCGGCGATTAGAAGGGCGCCACCGACGGCGGATCCTACCGCCGCCCCGATCACCGAAAGGTTGGATCCCGAACCTGCGTGTGCAAGTTAAAATTTCGTTACATACCTTTTTTATATATCCTGTTTCGGACTGTTGCTTTTTTAGTTAAGATGTTCGAAACTCTTTGACTTTATAAAATAAAAATAATCAGAAATGGTAGCTGCGATTTACCGCTGTCATCACACAGGGATCCGTCAAACCCGCATTTCGGCACATTAGACGGCGCCACCGGTCCCGGCCACTCCGGTTCCGTGGTGCAGCTCAGCTGTTGGGAGAAGCCGTCGTAATTACACACTTGCTGCAAAGGAACGCAGTGAAGCACAATTACAGGTACTACGGAGGTCTCAGGTAGGTTGTACCTGCCATTGGGCGGCTGTTGTATTGTCCATGTCGTACATGAGGAAGTGCTCGATATATTCGCCCTTGGACCCAATGGTAAACGGCCTCAGTGCGCCATCTATCAAACGCAGTAACTGCGAACCGCTCGTTCTCGTTTACAAGGTCTGCGCAAGAACAGAAAGCCACTGAAGGATTAAATTTACCCTGGAACGTGGTATTCCAAACCGACGCTTTGAGGAAGTCCCGGATGAGATTCACACTGGTGCCGTTAACTGTGTACGCCCGACGTAGCGCTGCGCCGGCGGCGATGATGGCGTTGTAGTCCGACAACATCAAATCTGCGCATAGAACACCATAGGTTTAGGTTTTTAGGTTTTTAATGCTTAATGTCTACAGACACAAGGAATCACTCCTCATCGAGATCTATAGACAAGTCGAACAATTAAGATAAGAAAACAGTGCAACGAAAAACGACAAAATAAGTGATGGTTACATCAATTTTAACAAAGGTCAAGCTTATTAAGCGTGTCAAGGTGGTCTTTAACAGAGGCGATCTCCTTCCATGAAACGCTTTCCAGTGCTGCCTGGAACAAATGTAGTGAACGATAGGATGATGCGTCCAAATCGAGGTCGTTCCAGACTTTGGCGATCCTCCATGAGAACGAGTCTTCACTGGCTGGCACTTCGGTCCCGCAGAAAGTCGTATTCGCAGCTTGAATAGGGAATGGGTGGCGCGACATCCGGTTTGCATTTCGCGTGTTACCTGCAACAGTACTGACGGCAGTAACTGACTCATAACTAGTGAAAAAGTAGTTGCCGAAGGGCATCATGCCGAATAATAGCTTATATGCAACAAACAAAGAGGTTTTAACCCGACGTAACTCAACGCAGTCCCAGTTTAACTCACGAAGTCGGCCACAGTAATCGTTACGCGCGCTTCCCAAACGAAGCCTTTTTAAAAATTTCAAAACACATCTCTCTAGATCTTCTCTTTGCGCTTTTAGGAAAGGTTTTACCACTGGACTGCAGTAATCCAGAAGAGGAAAAATTAGTGCTTTAAATAAACAGATAAGAGCTGCAGAATCATAGTGATCGAACAGCGACAACATGTAACCAATACGCTTTCGTACCCTGTTGCATAAATTACTGGTATGCTCACCCCACCGCAGTTTCCGGTCTACCAGCAATCCTAAATACTTGTTCACGACACGATTTTCAATTTCGGTATTGTTTAGCAAATATTTATGAATGTCAGTTAAACTTCGCTTTTTTGAAAAACGCATGTGCACAGACTTTTTCGGATTAAAGGTCAACCGTTTGGCAACTGCGGCTTTAAAAACGGCATCGATATCTTCCTGTAATTTTCCGCAGTCATCGCCTGATATTAAAGGTCTGCACAAAAACACATCATCCGCAAAAATAAAAATTCTGCTACCGTTAAGTAAAACAATCGTCAATCCGTTAATTTCGCAAATAAACAGTATAGGACCTAACACTGAACCTTGCGGTACTCCGCTCGTAACTATACCGCTTTTCGAAAACGAGCCATTTACTACCACAATCTGTTGGCGACCGGTTAGATAGTTATCTAACAGACCAACAACGTCAGGATCAATACCAAGTGATTCTAGCGTCGTAAGCAGGGATTTGTGATCAACACGATCAAATGCCTTTGAGCAGTCCAGCATTACCGCGTCCACCTCAAATCCACTGTCAATAAAATCTCCAACAAATTTTGTGAAAACAAAACACTGCAGTTCCGTGTTTCGTTTAGCACGGTATCCGAACTGGCTATCGCTTAACAAACCATTAATTTCCAAAAAAAGCCTCAAATAATTTGCAATACACCTTTCAAACACTTTTGAAATGGGATGCAAAATTGCGATAGGGCGGTAATTGTTAATTACTGTTTGATCGACAGATGATTTGGGAAGAGGTGTTACGTAAGACGTTTTCCAATGAGATGGAAACGTATTGCACTCAACACAAGCATTGAACAGTGTGACAAGTGGGGCGACAATTGTTGTACCGCAAGCTTTTAACAAAGAGTTAGACATTTTAAATTGCCCTGAAGAAGAAAAAAATTTCATATCGTTTAGAGCAGTTATTACATCGTTTTCACAAATTTTAAAAACGGTTTCTCTATCTTTCGGTTTCGTTGGCTTAACGGAGCAGTGGGAAAAGCAATCGTTCTGAGAACTGAGAAAGGTTTCGTTAAGTTTATTTGCTTTATCGGAATCAGAAAAAAGCGTAACGCCTTCTGGGGTTCTAATGGGTGGCAGGGTTTTTTTATCAACACTTTGCTTAACAAACTGCCAAAATTTCTTTGGATTGTTTCGGGTCGCTGTTGCAACGTTAAGAATGGCGTTTCTGCGATGGGATTTCAGAAGCGCATTAACTTTTTGGCATTCCATTTTACATAAATTTTTCACAAGCTCTTTTTTAGCAGCTGATGTTTCACGCAGCATTTTACGGAAAAGCCTGTTCCTGCATTTTATGACTTTACGAACTGACGCAGGATATTTTTTGTTCTTTTCACTGTGGGTTTATCATAAGCAAAAAAGCGGTGCGCTAAGCTTAAAATTTCGTTTTCTAGCTGCAGCGCTAAGACTGATGGGTCACTGATGGGTCAGAACTGCTTAACCACTTCTTTTTTTGAAAAAATACTGTTAATGTTACAACATCTAATCTTAATGTTTTGGAAATTTTTCGGATTAATAGTCATAACGCGCAAACGTATTTTGTCACTATTTAAGCTCCCGAGTTTTTTGAACCGGCTGTTTCGGGACCTCTAGCGGTTGTTCGCCGATCCGGAATTTTGCAAAATTTAGCAACATGACCTTTTTCGTTACAGTTAAAACAACGTGTTACGTACCGTTCGACTGGACACACGCAGAAATCAAACTTAATGCTGCCTGATTTTTCCAATAAACTGCAACCTTCTTGCGATGTTTCTATTATCATAGCACATGTTTTCACTGTTTCAGATCTACTAACGAGCTTTTTTGTCACTTTTACGTCAGACACAGGCGACATCTTATCCGACACAATTTTTTCAAAATGTTCGACTGATAAATCTTTCGGCACCCGCTTGACTATCATTCGAAATACTCGCTTTTTGGTTTCACTCACCGTAAATCCGAGCGCATCCTTGTGTTTCTCCAATTCTGATTTCGCGGCGTCCCGATCCCTTTCTTCCGGGAAGCGGATGACGATGTTGTCGTTCTGTGTGCGCCGTACTTGTTCCATGTTAAATCTTGCGCTGGCATTTGGAATGCATTGAGGTAGCTTCTTTTCGATCTCGTCGACTGTATTGTGGCCGCCACTTACTTCCATTTTCTCTTTGTCTGCTGTTAGAACCAGGGCATACGTCTTCACAGCCGGCATAGGAACAGAATTTTGTTGGTTGTGTTGGGGAACGGGGCGCTTTTGCTGTCCATGTGGCTGCAGAGCACTTTTGGCTGGGGCCGGCGCGGCATTCTGCTCTACTGTGGTACTGACCGATTCCTTGTGTTTCTTCAGCTGGGCGACTTCACGTTCGAGATCCAGAATACGGTTGTGCTGCTCTATGTTGTGGTCCACAATGCGGCTGAGGAGAGGTACAATTTCGTCGAGGATCCCCCTTAATTTGTGATGTATTCGGCCTTGCGGTCTTGTTCACTTCTTCCTTGAAAACCTCCAGTAACTGTGGAATAGTACGCATCTGGGTCTTAGTTGCTGATCTGGTTCCCATACTGGAGGGGAGATTCGCTGGAGAATCTCCAGATATGGTGGAGATCGAAAGGTCACGTCGTGACCTACACTTGATTTCTGTGTTAAAACTCAACCCGGATACAAGTTTTCGTAGTCAGAAAAAATTTCAGAAAATTAGATCCGCATGCGAGCTGAGCAAACGCAGAATGAAACTTTACATCCGCGCAGTAAAAATTTAAGCAATGTTTTCATACCTACAGCTGGTGTCTTTAAAGGTCATGCCCAAGCTGGTCTGCGCCTGGCGTGCGAAGGCGGTAAAAAATTCATTATAGGCCGTCATCTCGTTGGTGAAGTTAATGGCCAGGATTTGCAGGGCACGGAACGCGATGCGGGCGTCATCATCCGTATCCTGTTCTGCTGCACTTCGTTAACACAACGCTGAGGAGAGAACACGATACAGAATACTGACCGTTGCGCCAGGTGCTCTCGGGTATTGGCGTGCCCTGCAGCGACGTGTCAAAGTAGAAGAAGGCGTACTCGCCGTTGCACATCTGCTGTGCGTAGGCGGCCAGCATGATCTTGCGCACTTCGGTGAGATTGGCGATTAGTACCGCCACTATACAAAAAATTACAACGTTTACAATAAAAAATTGAATTAATGCGGATAAAATAATATTAGCAAATTAAATCTGAAAAAATAACATATGAATATAATGTTAAATATAACTAAAATAAATTAAATCACATGGGTGACCTTTCAGATGTTTACGTACCGCGGGTGCGGTGCGTCAGCTCGCTGACTACCATGGTGTAGTTGGCTCGGTCTTCAATGCGCACCGTGAACATATCCAGACTGTGATAACTGCGAGCGATGGCGGTGAAATCTGTAATGAACAGAAGACCTGTCGTGGTGCTCTTGTGGCATAGAGCAGTATTCTGTCCAACCGCCAGACCCACTGACCAGTTGATCAAATTTTAAATGGACAAGCAGATTTTAGACAAGCGATAGAAACTATTCTACGAGGAGCATGGTCTTCGAAATCTGGAAAGGTCACGTATTAATAAAACACGGTACAAAAACCGAAAAAAAATATTTTCCATAACTATAAAACGCGTGAAAATCTTCGCTTGCTTGACTGCTTTTATTAAAAAGATTTCATTGTACCGGTGTTGATGGAAACGTAGGAATCCTGCGTGGTATCGTAGATCGTCGCCACGTACGTCCAGTTATACTTCTCACACAGCGCGAAGAAGATCCCCCACTGCGTCTGCGTGGTGTAGCTAAACCGTGCCACATTATCAAACTGCCGCACCCGCATGGCCAGCGGCGCGAACGGCGCAAAAATCGGCACGGACGTGGTCAGGCTGGCTTGCAGCAGGAACTCCGCGGGGCAGGGCGACGCCAGCAGGACATCCACGGTCTGGGCCGTCAGTAGCTCTTCGGATAAACGCGCCGCCACATGGTAGTCCGTACTGTTGCAAGGCCCGTGGTTGCGGTATTGGAAGGTGGGCGTAACGTTGTACAGGGTGGTGATACGGGCGGCGGCCAGCTCGATGGAGGGCTGGCCATAGCGCCAGTCGTAGGCGGAGAGAGGGTCCCGGCTGGGGCTCTCGGCGCGCATCACCCCGATGGTTATGGAGAGGTGGGTGGCGTTTAACACGCGCCAGGGGGAAACCAGAGGAAGGCAATAAAACAGTATTACTATTAGCAGCGCCAAACAAGTCATGCTGATGCTGATTCGTGGAGGTGTCACAGCCACTGGCAGTAGCGGCTGCGTAATCCCCTCTCGTTGCAAAATGTACTGTAGTCTAGTGTTCCCATGAGGAGATACTTCGGGGTTTTGTCTGCCACCGGATCGCCACGTATCCGGCCGACGATACACATGAACGGCCCGGTCGCAAAATTCTGCTTGATTTTATTCGCATCACTCGACTGTAAGTTACATTGTTATTGTTCCTTAATTAATTCAAATTTTTCTGCAAATATTTCTGGGCTTTATATTAATTATGTACTGTAGTTAACGCCGTCAGTTACAAAGTAAGCTGTACCGGGGTATATTTATTTAGTTTATTTATCGGTGTATATAATGATGTCCTTCTCTAATTACCCCGACTGTATTGTACGGTATAAACCGATGCTGCAGTGGGCGGATGACTGCATGCATTTTCGTTGGGAAAAATGTCGATCGATGTGCTGGAAGTGTGTACGTGCTGAGATTTACGACGTTTCGCAGTGCGCAGACTGTAGTGTACGGTGCTTCCTTTTAATTTAGGCCGAGTTCCTTTACGCACATGCAAATGTTGGCTGCAGTGTCAGTATGTACTCGTACCCATGGAAACAACAACGGAACTGGGCGGCTGCCAGATTTTATGCTAACCGCGGACCTGACTCATTGGGTCATAGGCCCATATGCGTTATTAAGAACTTGATTGAGCACAGTAATTCGATAATCAGTGAATTTCCCAGAAAGTTTTTGGTGCTTTGCTCCTGCAGTGACTGTTTTCTACACCGTGGCGCAAGAACCCGTGCATTCGGTTTATCATTGCATTCGTATTTGCGTTTGATATTAAGTTCTGTGAAGTCTACTACTTTTCTTAGCGATACTTCGTCACGCTGTGTGATTTCTATCATTCAGCTATTGTGGCTCGCCTAAAAGATTTCGCACAATTATTTTTGCGTGTTTTTGTGTGTGATGCATGGGAAAAGTCCATTTTAGTGGTACAGCACAGAAATCCGGTGGTGCTGGGTTGGATCTCAATCAGATATCGTTGAACTGTGCGTGAGGATTTCTCCTTCACTTGTCACTTGTTAGCACCGATTGGTATGCCCCGATTTGGGATCCTGGAAGCCATGATGGCCGTCAGTAGCATGATGCCTGGTAATCACTGATCAACTGATCGATATAAGTACACGACGTATCTGCACTTCTGTACCACAAGCAGCTGACTGTTCCTATTTCCCTCACACAGAAGGCCTTTTTCCTGTAAACTTTTGCTACCTATTTCATCCCGATTTCCTCAAATTTAGCTAAGTAAACGTGAACCCATCAGTTGTCATGATGTTTTCTGGGGTACACTGACACTAGTTAGGCGAACGGTGGCGGCTTTGTAAAGCCGAAGCGCCCTTGCAGTTGATACTCTGCTAAGCGCGTGGTGCAATTTGGATTTTGGTTGGGCTTTTGTGCACAGAAGTCCAGAATGCACTAATTACGAACCGATATGCAGCATACATATATCCTGCATTAAACTGATCTTACGTGCACCGAAATGAAATACCAGATTCTATCAATTAGTGGCCCAGCGTTACTATTTTTTCCGTAAAGTTTCGGAGGGGGTCATTATTTCGAGGAAGGTTTCCAAAGCTGGGAGGGTCACCTATAGATACAATACGGTATCTGACACAGATTTACAACCATTAGATGTTATTTAACTATCTGGCAGCGGCATTATCCTCTCCTCCAGGTTGTTGGCCAATCAATCCATCGACCACGTACCCATCCATCAGCTGCTACAAATGCAACGATCTGGCCAGCAAAGACTGCCCCACGGCGCCGTGTTACTGCGCAGCGACCCCACCTCCATGGCCACCCGCGGCACCTACCGCTCGGAGGGCCTCAACGCCTGGCAGCACGAGGGCCCTTTGCTGCCGCTGAAGCCCTACTGTATGACGTCCCTGATGCGGATTGAATACGGCGGTGGAGCGGTGGGCACCCTGTTCGTGCGGGACGTCGGTTATCCCGGGGAACGACCGGGGACCTGTGTGACGGTCAATGACGTCACTGACAACTTTCCCGTGATGACCAAGTACGTGTACTGCGATCAGCCCTTCTGCGATACCATTACCTTTTAGGATCTGGCGGATCTCTGCTTCGCGGAGGCGGGGGTAAGTCCTTTCTTCAAATCTAATAACCCGCAACAAGCAGTTTTATTTGTCCGCCACGTGTTATTTCTTGTAGCGCGACCACATGCTTCTGTGTTCATACGAAGCGTATCTGTAGGCAAATTCGGTTGTGTCATGCTATGCGTCCGGGAAATAACTTTACTACCTACTTCGACGTTTAGCGCATTTTCGGACGCTTTTCACAATGCGGCTTCGCGTACCGGAAAGATTTCGCAAAACTTATTTTGGTGTTCCCACGGTAGATGATGCATGAGAATTACAGTCCCGTATTAACGGTTCAGCCCAGGATCAGTGGTGGTGTGTCTTTGAGGATTTCTCCTTCACTTGTTGCACCGATTAGCATATCCCGATTTGGACCAATGATAATCTACTCTCTGCGTTGTTCCACATTAGAAAACGCGTTAGTTTCTTATTAGTGTTGAAAGTATTTATTTCACGATTTTCAAAGGTTGCATCCAGATACTGTTGCTTAAAAATGGTATTGAGAAGTAGCACTAAAAGTAGTCAGTACCGTCTTTAAGGTTATCATGCGGTTATACACGTGGCAAAGTACCCACTGTCGCCACATTACTATCGCATTATTATTTATTTTTGTGTATGAGCTTGTATAAAATCACTAATAATCAAGTAATGAATTTTTGAAGTGATTGTCATGTGGAACAACGCGGAGAATACCGTATCTCTGGTGTCCGGTACGCGGATCCATATTGTGAAATTGTCCAGAGTGCGAGAGCCGTCGAAGTACAGCAAAAATGGCAAATACATAATCTTCCCTGTGAGGCTGTAACACATATCATCCATTTTGGAATTTGCTATCAACGCGGACCGCGCGGTTGTTCACACCATGTCGTCAGCGGCAAGTCAGTGGTGTGGTTTCTGTTTACAGGGTTCTCGGTCACTTCAGGTATGGGCCGAATTTGTTTCCCACGGGGTATAGCGGTTCAAGCTGGCAACCCTTTGAGCAGACTAAAAGCGGAAATGCGACGACATCCACTGCTGCAGCACAGAATAGGCACAGCGGTTTGCGTGCCATTGCCACAGTAGCGCTGCTCCTGATCCTCACCACCGGTCCCGACCATATACTGCGGAGTGTTACAAGGATGCGCTCCGTGGCTCTCCTGGGAGGAGGTTTCGCGGTACTGGGCATCTTCGGTAAGAAAGTATCAAACAGCGGCCTTCTTCGCGTTGTCTGGTTGCACAAAGGAGCGTGAGAGTTTGGGAGTTCTGAGCTAAATCGTCCGACACAAAATTAGATCATACCATTAAGGAAAGTGACCCAATACATGGCTGTCAAATTTGCGTGCATGCACGAGAACTTTCATTAACTGGCGCATTCTTACTTTCTACCGTGGCGAATTGAACATTACAATAGGTAATTCCTTGTTGTCTGGCTTATGACTTTACCGCATACAGAGTGCCGCAGTAAACGGCAGCCTTATGGACCCGTGAGATCAAAACAGCGAAGCCGTGATGGTGTGCTTTTGGTTTCCGGGATAAACATTTCGTATTTTGCATTCAGTGTCATCATCGGATGCAGGCAGAGCTAGAATGGGTCGGTAACTGGAGTGGCTGACAAAACTCCAGCGCAGCATTAGAACAGAGGACTGTACAGGTTTTTCCGGTTAGTCAGTGTTGAAACTCCGGGATACCTGCTTTACCGCTAAGGAGCCCAGATTTCCAGCATGGCCAACTTTCCCTGGAATCTGTTCGTTCTTTGCATCTATGCATACCATAATCTCTGTGCACGGTTATAGCTGTGCCGACCAGCGCACTGCGCTGCTACTCCTGCAAGGACGAGCCCAACGCCCCGGCCAGCGTGGCGCAGAACTGCTACACCATGCCGGCCATGCTGGGCGCCGGCGCCATCGTGGACTGCAACGAGCGCAAACCGCCGCCCATGGCCATCGGCATCACGATGCGGCAGACCGGCTTCTGCGCGATGTGGCTCGAGCAGTTTACCAATCCCTTTGGTGGCGGCATGCGGCTGAGCTATCTGGCCCGCGGCTGCGTGTATCCGGGCGGGGAGGAGCCGGATGCGGGCTGTCTGACCGTCAACGGCGCCAACCCCATCATGCCCGACCGCGCCCTGACGGTGACATACTGCCGGGACGGGGATCTGTGCAACGGGGCGATTTACCCGGATTTCATCAGCGAATGTTTCGGTGGAGGCGGAACGACGGTAACAACGGTGAGCGAGTATTACTGTATAAACGTCCGACTTTGGGCCACTTATGCGCACTTGCAGCCTAACTCACCACGGCACTATTTTCGCCTTCATAATCAGAAAAATTTTGTTTTTTGTAGAACGGTAGTATGCTATACGCTGGAAAAACGGTTTTTATCTGCAAAGGTCAACTATTTTTAGCTGCAAACAATTTTGTCTACAAAGGCCTTTGTCATCCACGCTAAGTGCTAGATAATAAGTTTTAAAATATTTCCCAAGTATTTATTTCGAGAACAGAATTGTTAGGTACGGACTTATACGCGGCTTAGAAATCAGTAGAAACGAATTTCTGTTGGAAGGATCCACGGTGCGTGCAGTGCCCGTAAAAGCGTAATTCCTTTATGAAATGCACCTGCTGCATTCAGTGCAGTGAAGAAATTAGGTATACGACTATACGGTAGTACTATGTACTCGATTATTTGTTATCGGGCCTTGTTCCCTTTTGACCTTTGCAGATAGAAACACTTTTTTCAACATAGTCCGGTGGCATACTACCTTTCTACAAAAAATTAAATTTCCTGAAAAAAAAATTAAAAATAAAAAATCTTGAAAATTAGTTTCCTGAAATTTTCTGTTATTTACAGAGGGATTTTAACGTGACCAACATGTCGACGATGCCGACCACCACGACGGTAAGCTGCTATCATGATCTTGTTGGTCGAAAGGCAAGCTACTCTATATCTGCTCGTATATCTGATCCTTATTCCTCCGTAGACCCCGTTTATACCAACGCTAAACCCACAGATTGCCGAGGAAATAAAGGTATATTAAATGAAGTGCTTTTACAATTAGAAATTCTGGGGTGCTGGTGAAGTCATGTGCCCACCTGCGGCACTCAGTACATTACCCGGTGTGTCTAGGTGCGGGCATGCGGCGGAAATGGCACGACCACGCCCGATGCTCCCGGCCAGTCGTCAGGGGGAATCTCTAGCAAATACCATGACTGTGTTATGCCTTCACTGTTGGTGGCCGTTGCCGCCAGTTTAATGTGCTGTCATGAGGCTCGGAGGTTAAATTTACTGTGATTTCGTTGTTCGTGTGATACTTCAGACTGTTCTGCGAGTGCGCGGTGATTGCGCCGAAGGTTTGATCCGCCGTTTGTAGAGAGTGTTACTGACAAGGTGGTGCAAAGGTCACAATTAAAATGGCAAGTTTTTAACACTGTTGTTACAAAGATCGCTACTTATTCGGTGCGGATAGAGCGATTTGCGAGTGAAACTGCTCAGCGGCGTTGAGCCGTATTGGCTGCAATGTGCATCTATATATATAGGGGTCTTCAAATAAACAAGCAGCACTCGACACAACCATTTTGCCTGATCCTTCTCTTTGAATAACCAGTAAATACTCTTCGAAGATCATTAATCATTGTGATTCGCGGAAAGGGCGCAAAACGACTTCTGTGATAGTAGGTTTATGTGACGCTACTCGCTGTGTTGCTGGCACGGAAATACTCATCATCGAGGTCTTCCGTCTGACGTATGAAAAAACAGGCACTCATGAATTCCTCAGCCTATAAAATTCTGTTTGATTTCACGACAAAACTCACAATTATCGTTTCCTGTAAGGCTTACTTAAATCTATTATCATTTATACCAGCATTATTTTTAAGATTTACTCAGATTTAGTTACGTAACAGTAGAATCATCGACAGTCAAGAATGAGGCTGCGGGAGGCAGCGTCTATCACTGCTGTAAGTGATAAATACTGCAACATTTTTCCAGTAATAGTACCTACCCGCAGCACGGTACTCTGCATGTAACTTGTGGTAAGTTGGCAGTGACTCTCTCACCATGGAAACAGCACCCCCACAGATTTCCTGCTGTTTCCCACAGATTTCCTGCTTGTTGTAGACTGAAGCAGAGTGCAGACAGTGTGCACGGTGTCGTAAGGGGGGATCCATAAATTACGTACGCAGCGAACCAGGGAGGGAGGGGTCCAAAAAGTGTGACAAGCTGTGACGGCCTCGACGAACCCAGGGGGAGGGGGTGGTCAGCTCCATGTATTACGATTGAACGAACCAGGGGGGAGGGCTCAAGCAGACGTGACGGACCGCTACGAAGGGGGAGGGAGGGGTGAAAAAATCGTGGTTTTCTGCGTACGTAATTCATGGATGCCCCCTAATGACAGTACTTATCTGTACGTACTGTTCCACGTGCTCCAAAACTGTTCCACGTGCAACACTCAAAATTAATGCACTTGCATAATTTTCATAAAACTGTTTGAATTGACTTTTCGAATCTTTCGTTCAACTCCCCAAATCAGCTTAAGATTAGACAGTTACATTTTGTGTATGCCATCCATTTTAAAGAGCTATTCAGTAACGCCATTGTGGTTGACCGTATCACAGTTTTCTGTCCCTCAGGTTTGATATTTAGTTAATTTATCATCAAAGGTTGTGGCCTAGAGGATTTTGCTCTCTCTCTTCTTTTATCGTATTTGATCTGCATACTTTTATCTTCCGCAGTCAGTTAATTAACATACTCGGTACATACATAATGTCTAAATATATTATTGCGACTCGCTGTTAGAGCCATTTCGGAACTGCGCTCCCACGCTGTGGTATGCTTGGGAAATCTGTATTCGCGATTCACTCGCCACTTGTTGTGTTCATTGTTTTTTATGCAACATATCTTGGATTATTCTCACACCGTTAAACATGCTGCGACTTTGGATTCTGGAAGCCTTTGTGACCATCAACACCTTGATGCTTGGTAAACAGAAATAGGAATCTGCGTTGGTGACTTTGTGTCATGTAACTCATGTCACAACGAGTCAAATAATTATTAGTATTTGCAGTTATTTTGTTTAATACCTTCGTCGCACATTTTTTTATGTTTGCACCAGTCGTCATTGATTTCTAGAAGGCAAGAGTGTATAGTAGTTTTGGGAGCGGTTGTGGCTCTACGATTCGGCTTAGTATCGGTACAAATGTTTTCATTCGCGTATGTCGCGTTCGATTTACGTCGCTTTTTTACTGTGGTTGGTTTGCATTGGTCAGATTCGCAAGTTTCATGGTTATTTCTAAATTTAGTGTGTACATAGAGAATTAGTACATAGAGAATTTGGTATAATAGATGGGATGCATGCAGAAAAAATATTTCTTTGTGGCCAAATACAAAACTAAGTGAATCATTTCCAAAACCCTTCAAGATAAAATTGACCGCTTGCAACTGAATCAAGCGCCGGGAGATCCCGAATTTTCTTCATTTAATATTTTAGCTAGAGGTTTTCGTGAAAGATAAACAACAAAGAAACCTGGAAGTGGTTTTTCGAAGGGGTTTAGCCCGGATGTAACTATATAAGTGAAGTGCTGTATTTCATGTTGCGTAAAATTCAAGACTTGCGTGGTGATGCGCGTTCTAGCAGCGCTCAGTCTAGCTGTTGTAAAAGATACACTGCGGCTGCCGTTAACCCAAGAGAAGGCAGATTGGTTGTTATGCATTCTTCAAATTTTTAGCTAGTAAAACGATGCTCTGAATTTCTTAAAGGATCCCTAGTCGAACCGTCGTTATTCAGCGCTTCGAGGGAGCTTGCGACTGCTTAGGTTGGAAAAGGATGCAAGGATTAGCCGATACGAATTGGTTATCAGTGCGATTACCGGAAACGAGAAACACCATATCATTGTACCGCTAGTTCGGGAGGCCTAATTATAATTTGTTAGAACGAAAGAAGAACGAAAGCTAAAATCAGGGTTAGAAACAGAATGGTCAGCTTCCGATAAATACGCACAGCCATGCTACGCTCATGGAAATCTGGTCAGAAGAGACAGCCACAAACATGGTTAACCGCCTAGACAATATTCATCCGCTCTTCTGTCAAGTAGCTACTACCAGCGTTTGCAGATACTGCTGTTTTGGTGGTAGGCAACTATAAGAATTTTACTGCTCTTTCCAGGTGTCTGGTCAATCAATCCATCGACCACGTATCCGTCCATCAGCTGCTATAAATGTGTGGACACGCAGAACAAAGACTGCGACCAGACGCCGTATGTTCTGCGCAGCGACCCGGGCAGCACCACCACCGCGGACACGTTCCGCTCCGAGGGTGTGCTGGCCTGGCAGTATCAGGGCCTGGTGCTGCCGCTGAAACCCTACTGCTACACGTACATCCTGCAGATTGACCACGGCACCTACGGGATGTCGGCCATCCTCGTGCGGGGCGTTGCTTATCCCGGCGGCAAACCGGATGTCTGCGTGCCGCAGAACGAGATCACCAAGGGCGGCAAGGGGAACACGGAGATTCGCTACCATTACTGCGACACGCCCTTCTGCAATACTATCACCAAAAAGGATCTGGGGGAGCTGTGCTTCAAAGATGTAAGTCAGGAATTCCCTCTCACGGCTCGTGGCTGTCGGACGTTTTCGTTGGGGTCTCAAAAAAAGCTAAAGAGGAGGATGCGAACCGTTTATCGTTAGGACAATTTAAGGTCAAATTGAATTTATTTTCGAGCAGTCAAACCCGCCTATTAGTTTGGCCATAACGTAACCAGTTACAGCGACAATTTTAGTCGTATAATATAAAAAGTTAGATTTTCTTTCTCAGTATGTACAGAGCAAGGTTCGCTCAACAATTATAATCAAATGAAGAATTTGTCCCAAAAAGTTTATCGGCACAGCTGTTTACCGTCGTATGCCGTCATTTAGCATCTACTGTACAGAAACTACAGATAGTTGTTTTGCAATAATCTGATGGTGTCCTCTTTATTTGCAGACGTACCGGTCATTTCAGGTATGGAAAGATATTTCACTTTGTAATGAAAAACGACAGTCTAACTAACAAGCTTGTTAGCAGCTGAAAAGCGGAAATGCAACGTCCGCTGCGCCTGCGTACACCAGAGTCAGTGCAGTTCTAGCGCTACTAATCTTTTCCGGCTGCGGAAATGCACTGTTGAGTGATACAAGGATGGGAATCCTGATGTTACTCGCTTTCTTTGGAATTTTTGGTAAGACGTACAGCAACAAAATACTGGCTTAAAACCGTCTATAACCGTTTATCGCTACTATACTGTACTGCGAACTGCTAAGCTCAGGCTTCTCTATACTCCATTCTAGAAAGACTGCGATCGCCGGTTGTATACCAGCATCCTAAAACCGATACTGCTTGAGCATCGTAACTCTAACCGCTGCAGAGCGCTTCTAGCTGTGATGCAGGGTCACAAAGTCGGCTGTGGTTACAATTCCGTATCACAAACGAGAAAAATCACATCGCTGTGCGGCCCGATCACGGGCCTACTTAAACTACTAGTACATCGTGCGAAAACTACGTAATACAGGTAATCAAGTTTACAAACAGTTAACTAACTTCCGAAACATCTGTGGCTGCGCTCACGATAAGCTGGCCAAACGTTAGCCATGACATGGTGAACCACTTGTACTAACAGAAACCATACTGTAATAATCTGATTTTTTTAACACAATTTTTTTCAGTTTACTATAGATAATCAGATTCGTTTACAACCGGGAGCAATTCTTCGTAAACTTCCAAGAAACTTTTGTGGATGAGATAATACTGAAGCGAAGGAATGTCGTCTAAGCGGTTCACCATGTTGTGACTATCTGTTCTGGCCAGTTAACCATGAGCGTAGCATGGCGGCGCTCGGTTACCACAAGCTGCCCATTCCATTTCTAGACCTGAACTAAAGATGTTTTTCTGTCGTTTTTACGGAAAGTTCTAATTGAATTAGGCCTGCGATCTGACGGCACAGTGATCCGGTGTTTCTTGCTTGTGGGCATCGTAGTCATACAGTAACCGCTTCGTGACCTGGCTTCCTTTCCAACCGTCGTTAGCTTCATCGAAGCGCTCAGTTTGCATTCGGATTTAGGATGTTTTAAGAACATCATTGTAATACCGTATCGCCCATTCATACCTTCCACTGAGATACTGCTGCGTCTGTACTGTTCATTTTCGGACTCATACCGTGACGATACACGATTGCAGTGGCACAGGCCAGCGCCCTGCGCTGCTACAAATGCCAGGACACCCTCTATTCCCCGGCCGCCGAGGCGCAGACCTGCTACACCTCGCCGGGCCTACTGGGTCCCAGCGCCATCGTGGACTGCAACGACCGCTACCCACCGCCCAACTCCATGATCATGACGGTGCGGCAGACGGGCTACTGCGCCATCTGGATGGAGCAGTTCACGCCCAGTACCGGCTTACAGCGGCTCAATCTGTTGGGTCGCGGCTGCGTGTATCCGGGCGGGGAAGACCCGGATCCCGGCTGTCTGACCATCAACGCCACCATGCCCACCCTGAAGGACCGCGTCATCACGGCCACCTACTGCCGCGACGGGGATCTGTGCAACGGGGCGACGTATGTGGCGTTCACCGGCCAGTGTTTCGGCGGCAGCGGCACGACGATGACCACGGTGAGGGCGTGATGATGTATAATCTCTCGACCACAGTTATTACGTATTCATCATAGAATCTGCACTGAGCGAATTCCAGTATTCCGGGTAAATGGTTAACGCGTGAAAGATCTGTAGAATTAGAGCAGCGCTTATTGCGGTACGTTTCTCGAGGCAACATCTTTCATCCGGAGCACCTCACTGCGCTCGGTGCAGTTTTATGTCGTGCAGTTTTTTCGAGTGCATAAAATGTTTTTTGCAAAACTTGAAAACGGAACTCCTCGCCGCGTTCTGCACTACGCAGAGGTGTTCACTTTTGCCTTTATGGTAAAACATTGTTCTAAACGTTTGCCGATACATACGATACATATAGATACATACGATTATTTCGGCTGTGGTTGTGTTTCGTAAACGTGACAACGGAACCGGAAATACAACGCTTGTGCCGGTCTGGTTATTAGCTAATCGCTTGTGTGCTGTTCACAGAGGGACTTTAATGCGACTGGTTTCACGATGCCGATCACAACGACGGTAAGCCGTTGGGCCGAATGCATATAAACTGTATCGTATTGTACAATTCGTCCTGTCCATCGAACGTTATCCTCTTGCAGACTGCCTTTGTGCCAACACTGGACCCACAGATTGCCCAGGAAATAATTGTACAGTAACAAACACGCGCGCATCCAGTAGTGCGGTAATGATTCTGATGAGTAGCGTTGTTAGGCTCGTGGATCCGGCAATAACACGGGCGTAACACCCGACGCGCCTGGCCAGACGGCCAAGGGAATCGCCAGTCAGCATCCGCATTGTATTGCCCTCCCACTTTTGATGGTCTCCATTATGATTGGCTGCCATTAGGCCGTATGTCGATAACGGATCGGTTCTTAGTTCAGTTTATGGTGATTTTGTTGTCCAGCAGATTCAGAGGATGTGCAAACTTACTGCTTGCCAGCAACTGCATGTACCGTAATAGCTTCAATTTGTCGTTGCATTTCTGCAGAGATCGAAAGTATCTGTAGTTGTTATTGTATCTGCATGGTTGTCAGTTCTTTGATTCGCGATGAGAGCCTCTGGCGTCACTGACTAGTCAACGTCTTTAGGTTGCATCTAGGGAAATATTAAGAATTATGAAATGCAGACGATGGTATTGTTAGACATTAATTTTCTGTAGTCTGTACGATTACTTAAAACAGCCTTCCGTTGCGTGAGCTCTGAGATGAACAACTTAAAACAACGAAATTACAATTGAAGTGCCAAAACTATCATAATTATATAGAGGTGTACCTTGCGAGTTAACCATTATGTATTTCTTGGACGAACAATATTCAGCAATGCTTTCTGCACCAGCCATTCCTCCGTGCTGGCGTCCTCCCGCACCCAGCACTCCACCACGCTGGGATTCGGTCCAAATATTATGATGTGCGCCCACAGATTCAACGTCTCTTCGCAGAATGTCGGCTGAAACTCAGCGCAACTGTAGTTCTTCTTCATGTCGGCGTGGATCCATCGGTCCGGTTGCATGTGAAAAACGCCCTCCAGCTGATGACCTTTAGGGATGTATACAAAGGCACCTCGCACTTTCCAGATAAAGTGCCTTGCAGGGTAAGGACAGCAGGGGAAGCTGACCTGGCACCTGAACTTGCCGGCAATGCCCGGGTGTGTCGTCACGTTGTCCATCTGTCCGATGAAGACATCGTCCGGGCGCAGTTTCGGCTGTAACGTAAAGTGTTTTACCGGACATCGTTGCCCATCACCGCTGGGACACAGGCATTCTACGGTACCGGCGGAGAAGCGCGAGACGTTGTGTATGGACAGGTAATTCGTTTCGTCAACGATTTGTACGGAATACTGCTGGTCTTGTAGTATCACGAACGCAGTGCCGTAACTGCCGTTAATGAGGTTATCCTGGTGACGCCACAATAGATTGTGTGGTTCATAGTGGAAGCAACGGAATATGGCGGTTTCTCCCGTCAGAACACGCACGGTATCCGGTGAGAGTGTTGTGTTCGTCTGTTGAGGCAGTTCAACGCGACCGTCGACACTTTCTGTCTGGGCACCTCGCACCGCATTCCACACGGGAACAACCCAAGTGGTACCATTGTCATTCACGTAACGCGCACGCTAACAATAAGGTCCAGAAATGTCGTCATCCAAATAACGAAAACACAAAAATTGTAACTGATAGCATTGTACAGTAGAATTAAATCTAGATGGAACGATCGGTATACACATAGACACAGTCACCTAGGAATTCGGTAGCTTCGATTTCATATACGAAGAGCGTCTCTTGCATTGCTTACACAAAATGTCGTCCTCCTCCCGTTTAGTCTTCGCGGGACTACAACCCAAAGTCCGCGCAAAGAGTAGCGTCGCTACTAGTAGAGTACAGACCTTTATACGTTTGTCAAGATTATATAAGCTGCCAACCGAAGGCTCCACCAAATTAGCCACAAACATCCTCGACGTAATCATTAATCCGGATGCCTGTAATCGGACGGCAATAAATGCTGTACTGTTAAAGCAATTGTTGTTCCAAAGGCTTGCCTATTTGTTGGAAGGTGGTTGACGTTCTACTGTAATCAACCATGCTTCGAGATGCATGCTGTTAGTTGTAAACCGACATGCGCCGTCACCGAAAGAGCGTTCACCGTGCGAGGCGACCGTTATCATCACGCTGAAAAATTCTCATGCGAAGTTTCCCAGTTTTGGAAAAATATGTTTCACGTAGGAGAGTTTGTGGTGCAGCGTTCACATAGGAGAGTTTGTGGTAGAGCGTTTTCTAAATTCCGTAATTGTCTTCGCGATGGGTGAGTGGTTACAGACCAAACCACCCAGTCCTTAGCGTACGCGTACAGACGGTTGGAAAAACGGTGCGCTAAACCACCGCTGCTGTCGGATTAGCGCTGGTACTTATACGGCAGTCTTCAATAATTATAAATTTCTCATAATTGTCTACTTAACATGATGCACTGAGAATACTGCATCGCACCGTTACAGTTCTCCTGATACGAAATGCTTATAAGCGAAAACATTTCCCAGATACAGCAGTACATGTAACACGAATACGAGTAAAACGCATACGAGTACGAATACCCTCGTATAAAAAAGCTAGTATTAAAACTATAGTCAGTGTAGTGTATATATCCGTCAAAGGTCAACCGTTATAATTTCAAGACATGATTTTGCGCAAAATACTGTGGTTCTCAGGTTAATAAAGGCTGCACTTAATAGCATCACTAAAATTAATGTCCCTCGATGCGACGAATGATTGGACGGACTAAATTTTCTGCCAAGCTTATTATACGCGTCGAGAACTGAGTGGAATTTTCCAGCAGAAATGGGTGGCAGCCGCTTGAAGCAGATATTCGTAAAATCAATAATAAGGTAAATATTTTTACTGTTACTGCTTGTAGTACCAGTAATTACAGACTTTTACTGTACCGACAACTGAGCAAAGTACTTAATGCATTGCACACTAGGGCAGATTAATGCTGAAGCACGTGATTGCAGCTACTGCTTTCTGTTGAGTAGGTCTGTCTAGACAGTTGTTTTTGTTGATAACATACATTACAAACGGCGGACGCGGAAGCGGGGGTTGCTAGGCCACCGACACTGGCGCCGCGACGGAGAGACGATTTTCCCCTTTCGGCTGCGTTCCCTTTTTGCAGACGTTTGGATGTTATCACTGTTATGGAAAACTGTGAATTTTCCCACAACTTTCTTGACAATTTAATGTTAGTGCTTCGATACCGCTATTAAAGCGTACCGCTTTAATTGCTCATTTCCTGCTGCCTTCTGGTAACCCTCCACAAAAATTACTCGTAACTGCGTGAACGAAATTTGCCTTCTTTGTAGTTCCAGACTTTCAGTTATTAAAATCGTTGAAACTCATGTGAAAATGCAGTGATTTGACAGAACGTGCGATACACTTATTTCGATATTTCACATCGAGTTCCGAAATGATCGGGTTATTATCCAGATTTTGTTATGGACTTGGTTTTTTAACTTTTACTGTGCCGTGTGTTCATCTTCTATGATAAATTTTGATTGGTTCAACTGGTTGATCTACAGCGCCAGCACCATACTGCATAAACCGTGCTCTACTGGTGACGGATTTCTGAATTATTTATTTAAATACCTGGCTGGTTTTTGTATACATCTATCAGTTCGCGTCATGGCCGAGTACCAAGATAGCAGTTGGCAATTATATGTATTTTGGGCATTACACAGTCTGATTCTAGGTACGCACGCTAATTCTACAACGTAGACTCGTAGAGACTCTTTTAACGTTTTTTCTAGTAACTGACGGTTTGTGTTCGCCTATATACGAAATTAATGTGCCTCAAAGGTCACAGATAACCACTGTTTGGTAGTCGCTTCAATTTCTCAATTAGAATTATTTTTATTATACGGTGGATTTTTTTCACTGGATAGGATGGTACTTACAATTACAGTTAATAGTTAATACGATTTTCTTAAAGACTACAGCAAAACCTCGGTAACGTCACACGTGTTCTTCCTATGACCAACATGGAAATTCTGAATTGTGATTACTAAAATGCTTACGAAAATTACTGTACAAATTGAACAATTGCAATTGAATTTCGTCCGCTTTTAATTGACGTACGAATTTTCAGTGCGGAGGGCGTACGGAAAAGAGTAAATTTACTGTATCAAGGAAAAGAGTAAATTTACTGTATCAAAGACTGGCTTTACTACGGAAACCTTTCTGCAATGTTTTTGTCTAGGATGTTCGGCGCTCACCCAGGACTCGGTCTTCCCGCCCATTCGCTGCTACAACTGCACCAAGACGACGGCCAGGAGCGACTGCGACAGATCCCCCGCCAACCTCAACCAGATCTCCACCCTGCCGCCCTACAAATTCCAGGGCCTCACCGCCTGGTCCAACTTTGACCGCGACGACGGCGATTCCCTGAAGGGGATGATCCTGCCGCAGCAGCCCTGGTGTTTCTCCTATATCCAGCAGATCCGCCCCAAGAACGGCTTTTACATTAGCTACTTTGGCCGCGATGCCGGGTACCCGGGCGGCACGGCTCCACCCTGCTACGAGGAGACCTCCACGGACCAGGACGGGAACACGGTTATTATCCGCTATATGTTCTGCGCCTCGGATCTGTGCAATACCATCACCATGGACGAGCTGTCCAAGCAGTGCTGGACTAATGGCGTGAGTTCCTGCTGTAGATGTTCCCATGGCCAGTGGTCTTAAATTGTTAAACTGGTGTGTATGTGTTGCAGAGTCTGACGCGGGCGCTGGATGTAAGTCGGTTTAGTTCATTCCTTCGTCCAGTTTAGCAAATGAATTTGTTGAGCTGACATTTGGCAAACAGGTTGCATCCGCAGCGACCAGACCAGCTATCTTTTCGGCGCGAGTTATTCCCGGATTTGTGGCGTCTCTCCTGCTGGCACGGGATGCTCGTTCAACGTCTAGCGTGATGCGTTTGTTGACGATGATCTTTGCTACGTTTGCACTCGGTAAGTGATTGATTAAAAATTCGAGCGAACGTGACGAAATTCGATGACATTATTTTTGTAAATAAAATATGTGACTGAAATTTATAACCTCTAAAGTCTGCATTTCTAAAATTTTTATTAGTGTTTACCTGCGCTATCAGAACGATAACTGACTGTTGATGAACAGATTTATTTACTAATTTAGCGTTTTTCTTACTGAAAGAAAAATCGAACACTTTTACTACCTTTTTAAAAAAGAAAGTCCATGGTTTGTGAATTTTATAAGCAATATTGCGAGGATTGCGATATTGCGAAGGTTGGATTCTGTTTGCATTGGTTTGACCTTTTTCCTGGCGGAAGCCACAAACACTATTTCGGATAGACCACATCTTTTGATAACATGATATTTCTGTCACCAAGACTAACTGGATGCGTTCTTGTTGGTAGTTCCCAGCGCCCACGCCCTGAAATGCTACCGCTGCAAGGATATGATGAGTACGGACAGCACGAACGTTCTCCTCACCCAGAACTGTTACACATCCCCGTTGCTGCTGGGTCCGGCGCAGATGCAGGAGTGCCGGTACGACTATTACCCGCGCAGCAGAGTGAAGATCTTCATGCAACAGAAACCCTACTGTGCCACATGGATCACGGATTACCGCTTAGCGGGGCAGACCAACTACAGCTACTTTCTCGGCCGCGGTTGTGTGTATCCCGGCGGACAGCCGGATGACTGTCTGCGCGTCAACGGCTCGCTGAATGCCGATCCCACGCTGAATCAATCAGGTCAGAGAGAACTCAGCGAACGTGACGCGAATAACGAACCATAACGCGTCAGATTGCAGTCCACAGTCAAACAATCGAAGAACTTGACAGTAATTTTTATTTCTGACTCATTGCAGCGTTGGAACGATACATCACCATTCAGTACTGTGATCAGGATTTCTGTAATAAAGATCCATTTGAAAGCCTGGTTAGCAAGTGCTTCCAGAATAATTACGTTGGCGGTACGACACCGCCCATTCCCGTGACGGTAAGGACAACGGCAGCACCCTGAACGAGAAACATTTTGCTAATGTCGCTGTATGTTTCCAGCGCGATTTTACGGATAAGAACGCCACAATCGTCACCACACCCGCGGTACGTGTGACACTATGTTCTGCCGTGTGCGAGCTTTAAACAATGTGACAATGTAGGGATTTAAAAAGATTGGATACCGACCAGTCGGTTTGCGGTGCAGAATTTAAAATATGCATAAGTCACTAACAGAGAACGTTTGTTTGCGCCATACACTGTAAAACAAAGCATATATACGCGTAGTATACTTTTGCTAGTCCTACACTGTACTGATGATGTGTATACTGTGCTGCAGACACCACGGGATACGTCGAAAGCATGGGTGGGAGATTTCATAATCCAGGCCCAGATTATATTCACCCGGGTACGTGAATGGAGCGCTTGCTGGTAGTGAAAACCGATATTGATACACAAGGACGATTAATATACTTTTTCGAATAGGTACGCGCCGGCAACTTCACCGATTACGAGTTGAGTCAGAAGCCCAATAACACGGCTGCGCATATGGTGCACCTGCCGGTGGGGATCCGTCTGGCTGGACCAGTGCTGGCAGCAGCGGCACTGTACCTGTAAAATCTGGCTGGAAAGGGGAGATGCCGCTTTTTCTTTTGGCACACAGCGTGAAAGTGTGTGTTGTAGCGTGTACACTCCACGTTCGTTAATATTTGCGGGAAGGGTTCGCTTAAAACGGTTCAAGGCGCTGCGGTGTATCTGCTGGTTTGGGAATCGGGGTGCAGTAATTAATGGCCTTCAGTTAATGAGGATCAAGTTTCTGTGTATTTGTACTGTGTACATTATAATCGCGGGCTTGTTGTCAACCGGAAGTTGTGACATTGTGAATTGAGCTATCATACTGGGTTTGTTGTGAAATGTCAAGGTGGTCTACAGCGTTTACTGAGTCCAGTGCAGCATTGGTTACAATGAAGAAGTCAGATTTTGGCCAAAATTCGTTGCGTACCACAAAGTCTCGGTCAGATTACGTCTGCTTGGACACCGTGATATTCAGTTTTCGAGTTGTAACAATGCCACCGGAAGTGGTATGCCATCATGAGCTTATTATAGGGTTTACCAGCACATGGGGGAACCGGAAAAGGTATTTTTGTACATATGCTCCATTATTATGATTATGTGCTGCACTGTTTACATATTGTCAGGAATTTATGGTGTCCAGGTGGGAATTTAGCATATAATAACAAGCAGCAAAGCATTTAACAGGATTAATTAACATCAAGGATTATGACAAGGAACCGCAAAGCACTGGAGCCTGCATCTGCTTCGCTTCGTGGGCAATTAATTGCTAGGTGACTGTTCGGTCTGCGAATAAGTTATTCCATATGACACAATATCACTGATTACAGGAGTGCAACATATTTAAGTAGATTGCACTCATTACACACGGTGCCGGATAGAAGAACAAGCCCATAGTTTCATTCGGAATTCTTGCTGATATTTACGATTCATGCACTTGACTTTACATTCTTACAAAACGACAACTGTTTTGTTTTTAAATTATCGTCTTGTGCTTCTTATCAAACCAGAGTATATTCTGCCGAGTGCCGAGTTAGGCTTGGGGCCTTTGTCGAGGTTGTTTTCAGGTTCTCATAATTTGACTCTTCGAGACTTCTTCACGCAACTGTGCAGGACAAATGTTCGCCGCTTGTCGAACATTATAATTCTTAACAAACCTTGCCGGATCTTATGTATGACTGCTTATTGAAAAGACAAAATTAATAATTAATTCATATTCTTATTGGACAGTGTGGCTCAAATTCAATAATATATTATTCCGGAAGATGAAATTGTGAGGTTGGCAGCGAAATCTGCTGAATACATTTGATCGCATTATTGTCGTTGTTCAAAACGGATTAACAGGATTAATCATAATCAGCGAAGGATTAATTTCATTCTGTTTTCTAACAACATGGTTAAACCAAGCATTATCGGGCCAGCATTGCTGATACAGTCGCTGCTGATGGGTACGTAAAATAAATCCGAGTACACCGACAAAGACGAAAACCTTTGCGATGCCAAACGATTTTCACAGACGTTATTGGAAAATAAATAATTTACCTGAAAACTCAACCATCTTTGTTAAAAACACGCCGTCTGCCAGAGTTATCACAAAACCATTTCACAACGTTGCATAAAATTTAATAATTACGGAAACTTGCGGCGTCAGTACCCGTCAGTTCATCAGTGGAGTTGGTCGACGCATAAACGATCAAACAGGAGAAGCGCACACTAACGAAGTTTTGTGGCAGCGTGTAGAAATTGAGCGGGGTGTAGTTCTGGAAACTGTTGGTTGTCCAAAAGAGCTGGAAGAGGTGTTTTATTTGTTCTAGATATTCATTATCTGAGTTTTAAGTGTACATAGCATTTGCTTGTACAAGGTTGAAATTAAAACGTTTAATAATTATAATTCAATAGCCGGCAGAGCAACAAAAAGTGCGGCCGCGATGACTGCTACTCCATATTTAAAAATTGTTAACGTTAAAAGCAATCCCTAAAGCGTGGCTCAAAACCGATGCGGCATTTCGTTTTATAGCAGCTGAACGTGAAACGCTGTTCACGACTGCCACCCGGACCCGGTCTAGGTAGAGTAAAACATAAAGATAGGACAACAACTCCCTATAACTGGATAGTCTGAATAATAATAATTATCACTCGTACAGCTGGGAAGATGGACCAGGAAATCTTGCTGACGGCACTTTATCTCATAATCGTTCTGCACAACCGAATAACGGGATTAACCAACGAGTGCTTTTATTGTTTTCCCTTACGAAATGCTGAAGTCACGTACTCGTATTATCGGACCAACATATTATTATTGCAGATTCTGTCAGTGCTGAAGTGAACATCAATCAGCGCAGCACAGACATAAAAGACTAGGCGCGCGTCCATGGATCTCTCAAAATGATGTAGAACGTCAGGCAGCACATTGTATGAAGAGTGTTTTTAATCGAGTAAGAAAACAAGACTCCCACGCTGCATAGTTCAAAATTATGCTGGCAACAACAGTCATGCTGTTCTACCAAATGGCGCCGCGGTCAGGCCCGAGCATTTTTGCCCCCTGCCTCAGGAAACAAGATATTGCGTCTCACGCCGAACAGCGCGAAAATCTGAGTGTTTTCGCTAAACCAAACTTGGTGTGCAGCCTGCTCGGTGGCTTTTGTCTCTATCTCTTCACCACCTTTCGACTATTCCAACTATGTACCATTTCTGCGTTGAATTATAACACCACCCGGAGACTGTTGCCACCCGCATTCGCACACCTCTTCTGACTTTCCCAGTTACCGTAATTATCGAATTTGCACCCCTGGGGTGCAAAAGTTCAAACGTCCTGGAGGAGGGGGGCTTATTTCGGGGAGGGGGCGTTATTTCGGGGGGTGGTACTATTTTTCAGACGATATTTTTCGGCGGGGCCGTTATTTTTCAACAACCGCGCATCCTATTCAGTTCTAACTGAGCGCAGTAGATACCGGGATTCGCAATTTCACAACCTTGCGAGCTGCATTCTAGCGTAGCGCCACATTATTTTTGTGACCGTTTACTGTTTATTCGTTAAATCATAACAATTATTATGAAGCAGTTTACGGTATATCTATCATTTTGCGGCGCTTATCATTTAATAACGCCCTTCGGGGCGGGAAATTCGGGGGAGGCGCTATTATTCGAACGGGTTATGGGCGGCGGGCTTATTACGGAGGGGGGCCTTGTCATGGGGGGAGGTGCAAATTTTGATAATTACGGTAGGATGTTACGGTACATAAAGGCTGACTGACTGTTAGGCTGTTACATAAAGCCGGGTGCCGTAATATCGATATCTGAAGTTATTAGCGCTTAATGTTACAGTATATTATTCAGCATTTGCTACTTTTAAAACTGTTACTTTTTTAACTTTTAAATAGTACTAATACTTTTTCAACACTTTTAATTAATTTTTTGATACTTTTTTTACAAGTGATACCTTTCTAATACTTTTAATACATCTTTAAAATTTTTTTACTTCTAATCATTAATACTCAGTCTCATTTCAAACAAAAAAAAAGTTCACTTCAAGAGAAATTTTTGACGCAACTTACAGTATTGGAATACATCTTCAAAGAGGTGAGTTCTGGGAATACCCGAAAAGGAGTGCCGTAAGGAGGTGACCGTAGCCAAAGGTAGTATCCAAGCGGTGAGAATATCCATTTCTTAAAAGGCAACTCGCGATCACTAACCCTCTCGCGCTGACCATTAGGCCAGTGGGGATTTTCGCATTTCGATGGTTTCTTTGTACATCCCTGGCACGTTTACTGTATGCCTCTGCAATCTGATAATTTTGCTGCATCAGTACACATTGCGGACAATTTGGCTGCTGCAGCCAGCGGTCACCTTAAAAGCACCTTAACTGTATTTCACGTTGATAGCTGTGCAATACAGTTAGCATGGGCCAATGAATGTTGACCTTTCAGGGTGTTATGCGCTGAACCAGGCGACGTACTATCCCAATATTACCTGCTATCAATGCAGACGAATGCAGAACTGCGATTCTAATCCCCAGGACAGCGACGAAAGCCCCACGCTGATAGCGCCGATGAAATTCGAATCGTGGGCTGCCTGGGCTAACCGGGGCTTGGTGCTGCCGCAGCGGCCCTATTGCTTCTCCTATATCTCGCAAGTGCGCATGCCCGATGGCAGCAATACCAACATTTTCGGACGCGGTGCGGGACACCTCGGTGCCGCCACACCGATACCGTGCTGGGAAGAAAGGACGTCGATGGACACCGCGCAGGTCTTTACGAGGTACATTTTCTGCCCTACATCGTACTGCAACACCATCACCAAGAGCCAGCTGGGCAATCAGTGCTTCACTGCCAAGGTGAGTCCTGTGAAATCACTGTGATGTGATGATGTTTGAAAATAGCTGACGATGTGATGTGTAATTTTGCAGGAACTCCGCTCTCTCCAGGTATGGTACTGGTAACAACTTAACGATAAACCTCCTACAGTTAATCGTCTCCGATTCCCCGTGAAACTGATGTCGATTTAACGCGATCCAGTTGGGGAAGGGTTTTGCCAACAAGGCGTTTAGCACATACCGAATCCTTTGATGGCGGACACGCCAAACAGTTGCGTTCTAACATTATTGTGAGATTGCCATTTATCAACAGATTAATCAGAATAACACTGCTGAAGCACTGAGAACTACCATATCCCAACGTATCATGCTTCCGGGGATGGCTGTGTTAGTGCTGAGGGCAGCATACGAAATGACCTCAGCGGTTCCCAGGATAGCCCGTGCTGCGACAGTTATACTCAGCCTATTGTCCTGCGGTAAGTGTAGGTGTGTAGCAGACCCGGGCAACGATTTAGCGAAACTCGCTCAGAAAAAAACTTAACTCTAACTGAACTCTCATAAAAAGACTATGTATTGTTTATGGTAGCGTAACTCGCGGTGTAACTCGAAACTCTGCTTTCCTCCATAAATAACTAAACTCTCAGCGCAACTCGCACGCTCCCTGTAACTCGTAACTCTAACTGGGTAAATTTCCTATAACTGCCCAGGTCTGGTGTGTAGCAGATTGCTTCATTTCGCGCGTATTCCTTAAACTTACTGCTTACTGCGATTGTTTCGTCTCCTCCGAAAATTCTGGATGCTGTTCGAGGAAGGGGCACCTTGTAGAGATTATTGTAAGGCCTGGGCAGTTAATTATAGCTATACTGGCACTACAGTACCTCCTGTTTGTGCATTAATCTGATAACCGTTTTTCGGGTTCCCGACCGACGACAGTTCCCGACAGACGGCTTTATCGTAAGAAAAGGTTTTTTACGAGGGGAGTACTGCAAAAACGCCGGCTTTATTTCTGGCGGGTTTCGAAAGGGAAGCTATTAAGGTCACTAACTGATGGAATACGGTATTTTCTTTGTAGTGTCGTACATCCAGGCGTTGAGGTGCTACGCCTGCAAGGATCCTTTGTGGTCGTACGAAAGGGACATGGCCGCCGGATACCCCGTGAGCGACTGCTATAACTCCACAGCACTGCTGGGACCGGCACAACAGGAGGATTGCAACGAATTCAAGATCTATCCACTCTATGCCAAACAGAAAGGCTACTGTGCAACGTGGATACAAGAGAGAAACGGCGTCTATATCATGGAACGTGGGTGTGTTTACCCGGGCGGCGAGCCCGACGATTGCTTAGCCGTCAATGGCGATCGGTTTGGGACATATGCAAACGGTAATTGTATTATCATCATCTTGTTTATTGATTCCGTACAAGCAGATCAAGTAAACGATTCTAAACAGCTTACGAAATTCGGATCGATTTCCATGTACCCAAAATTCCGAATAAGCATTGCACAAGCTAGCGCGACATTGTACTCTGCAAACCTAAGACTTTTGTGACTCCCCGAACAATCGCGAGTTTGGATTGGCATTCCTCCCGTTGCTTACTGGCTACTATTGACGGAATTTAATTGAAGGTTCCACGCAGACCATACGCTTCCGCTGGACCGCGCAGTACTGCGCCGACCGAGATTTCTGCAACAACATCAATTTTGCTGATTTTGTGTACCAGTGCTTCACGAGCAAAGTCGCCGGAGGCACCACTCCCGCCATTCCGGTAACGGTACGCACGATTTACGATGAACTCTCTGTGCAAATAGCGTACATTCAGGTTTACTTTGGCAGAGGGACTTGAACAGCACCGACTATGCACGCTATACAACCCCGACGGTAAGTGTGATTTCCTAAAATATCAAACAAGATGCGAAATGTCACTATCTAGTCCTGGTCAACGAATGACGCCATAGTTAAGCATACTTTGCAGTTTGCACACCATATTACCAGGAGGCTTGTAGATTCCGGTTGATACATTACTGTGACAGATAATTGTCTTAGTCGCATAGTCTAAAATCTTGCGACGTTCTTCAGTTTATCCGACCCAGTCCTGGGACACCGATGCAGGATACCGTCCTCATCCAAGCTCAGATTATAATCGCTAAAGTACGTAAATAATCAGCATTTCGGCAGCACGTTTTCTACGACGAGTATGATCCACTTAACTGAACGCTTGTACAGATTCGAGCGGGAAACACCTCCGATCTTAACATCACCCGTGATGGTGATAATGGCCATACGCGCCACCTCGGAATCACGCATAACCCTGTGGGCTTTGCTCTGCTCGTGGTGTCAGAAGTCCTGGTTCTGCCGTCGTTGGTTGGGCATCGTGGGATGTCATGATACAACCGGAACAACTGCGCTGCGTGCAGCATGCTGTTCGGTGAGATCGTTGTAAGGCCGAAGCGCCTGTGTGTGTGTTTGTGCAAATGATGTGCAGAATTTGTGCATTGTGCTGGATGTTGCGTAGATTTTGTGTTCATTTTGGTGCTTTTGCGCTTCGGAGGTTTGTTCTGTTTGCAGCTGGCAGCTACCTGTTTGTATGCCCTTTGAGGTATTATCGTGTTCTTCTGTCGACCACATCACCTCGTTCATTTTTTTTATAGTTTCGATAAGCGCGTGCTAGTACATGTTTGACGGACACCATTAACCGGTGACGCTGTTGTTCTCAATGATAAATTGGACTTGAAGATACGGGAAAGCAAAGCCCCGAAACGAATTAAATTTTGGAAGTGCGGTTGTTTCCAATGGAGCAATGGTCTTTATAAGAATCTCGCTGTATACAGACTTATACAACATCAGTAAGTAGTTCGGTAAGGTAGAGTTACGGTACAAGAACGTGCAGTTAAACCTGATAACCAAACATCGACGGTTAAGCCGATTACGTAAGTTTATTAAGCAAGTGTATGTGATTTACAGAACTGCCCCCAGGGGAAGTGATAATTTTTGCCCCCGCCCCAAATAATATTGCAGGATTATTATAATTTTTATAATCTTTTAAGTCTTAAGAACGGTAATAATTCTTTTACGGTATTTCACTCAAAGACTGCCAACGTGTACGTTCCAGTATACGATACTCGTACAGTTACTGTACACTACACAACTGAATGAGAATCTCTTCTCTATACATTAATAGCGTAAGCCTTAGCAAAATTCCATTCGTATCTCCCTTTTGCAAACGATACACTGAACCAAACTTTGGTGTCTATAGATCATTCAATAGCGCTGCGATCATAGATTTGCAGAAACGGGTAAGTTTTCTCAAACTATTTGAGACTTGAAAGAAAATTTTAAAAAAACATACCATACCAAGTCTACGGGAAAAGTCAAGAACCCATCACTGCAAAGCCAACCACGCCACCACTGTCTCCAACAGAGTGAGAGTCTGTGAGACAGCCAGAAACGCAACTCCGACAACTCCGCTGAACACTACACAGAATTAAATTCAAACCTTTGCGTATGTCATTTGGGAGCTTTTGAGCTTATTAATTTTTCGTCGAAAGTCAGTTTCGAGGAAGAAAATGAAAGGGCTGAAGGAAGATTTTCAAAGGGCTCACATTCACTGTGGAGAAGCGGGGACTACAAGATCTGCAGAATGCAGATAAAGTAGCTGCCAGCCGAAGCGGTTTGAACAGTTTTCAATTCAATGCTCCCACGGGCGGGTACGATTGTCTTTGTTGCCGAAAATCATCTGACCCTTTCTGAGAACACATTTTTCGAATGTTATAGAACTTATTTAAAAAAGAATCGTACGTGACGCTTGGTTATAAAAGGATTATGCATTACATTTACACAGTGAGACTCCCTAGACGGTTTGGGGCCTTGGATTAACTACCGGACGTCACAACAGTTGCGATAAAATTTTAAATAAGTAGTTAAAATGTTGCGTATAAACTATCAAAGTAAAAACGACTACGCATTGAAAATAATAGTTATGGCTGAAGACATGATGATTATTAACCGGGAAGTAAGTACTATAACCAGTAATGGAAGGCAAGGACAACAGCGGTTGTGAGTCAGTTGATTTGCTATCACCGGGCCGACTGAAATTAAAAAAATCGCAAAAGGGGCGAGCAGAAATAATTTTGGGGATAAAGTTGAGCGGAGTTTGCTTGGTGGCTGATCAGGTAAAACTAAAATAATTTGTTAGAAAGTTACACAAAAAACAGAACGTTTCCGGAATACAAAAATTCATATTTTTGATGTCCCGACTTTCCAGTTAACGGACCGAGAGTACTTATTTTCGCTGTAAATGTTCATACAAAGATAATGTTATCGGTAGAAGTGTGAACTTACGGACAGCTCGGAGTAGTTATTGTCAGTGAGGTAAAAAGGAAGCGTAGGCCGTGGATTAATTGTCCTTCTGTCATTACAGTATTTGCAAGTCAAATTAAATTATTCTAATGTTAATTTTTAAAAGCCACTTTAATTTGGCAATAATGGGTTTATATTTTCTGCAGTACGTTGATTTGTTCCGCGCAGTTTGCGCGGGGTCGTAGTACTACTAGTCTGGTAACTTATTACTGTTTTATCTGCTTGGCGTAGCAGAGTCCTGCCGTCAGTTGAACTGATGGGTGGGCCAGGGTGGCGGATGTTTCGGTGTAATTTTGTTTGTTTTTGGCCAGTCTGGCCAAAAGTGGCTGTGGCCAGCAGGTTTTTTTTACATGGGTTCTTAACCCGATGCGAAATTCACATCCGGTTAAGAACAAAAGTAAAATGTGACGTACATAACGGATACTGCTAACTTGGCGAATGCGGGGATGTGAGGGCGGACACAACGACGACAGGCTAACAACGACGACAGGCTAATTAACGACGACAGGCTAATTAACGCGCGCCGAGCGGCTTACAATTCGCAGCAGTCTGACAACTGTGAGCTACCTAGGTTTTTCAATTCAGCCTGATACTAGAAATTGTCTTCGTGTATGACGTGTCAGTAGATCCTCATTAGAAAAAGATTCCACTCCGTGACTCCTGAATTCATCCGTATCCAGGACCAGCTTATCCGCTTTGTCTGTGCGAAGATTGATTGATACAGAAATGTCGTCTGTTCGTGCAGCGTATGAGGTATTGTAAAAGTTTTTTTATTGTAAATTTCAAAACCTGCCCGCGAAATTTGCAGTGAACAACAGCTAAACTGATCGCTGCTGAAGTAGAGAAGTTCGGCAGGTAGTAAAAACAGGCTGTAGTTACTAGTACTGTACGAAAAAATGGTATGGGGATCTCATAGATAGAAGCAGCCATGAGAGCATTTCCGAGCTAGAGGCTGAAGAATTCAAGAACCCAGCGTACCTATCCGGGCCATCCAGATCCTGCACTTCAAAATTGCTTTCTATTCAGCAGACTACTTGTTTGTGCGTTGTAGACCGATAGCTGAACTCTCATGGCTTCTGTTGCATCTGCAGCAACAACGACACCCCCAAACGGAACCAATTAATGTTATTCATTTTGCGATTTATTGTTTGTCAGTTGTTGGAGACGGGAATTCCAACTGCAGCGATGTTTGACTGCAAAACTAACCGCTATGACATCCTGGGCGATGACAACGTGTTCCGCAGTGGCCGGGTGGTCGACGTGGCGGTCAACGGGCTCTTCATCGATTTCTGTCCGAGTCGACGCCGCGAATTCGTCCACTTCAAGCGTGTCTTCCAGAATATGCACCCCATCATAGAAAAGGAGGTGGTCTCGGCTTGCACCATACCCGAAGCCAACTTTCCCGTCGACGTCCTGAGGCCAGAGACCCCGAACGGTCCCCTGGCATGGCTCCCGGCACGCATCGTCAGTGTGGCGCGCGGTATGCGCCGTCCAGCATGCAGCGTAGCCATTGCCGAGTGGATGGAGAACGGCGTTGCGTGTACGGATCTCGTTCCGCTGAAGCGGCTGCGTTGGAGAGATCACGGTGGCTCTGCAAAGAGCATGGCGAGCGGACGGGTCGCTAAGTTTCAGCCAGTTAGAGCACGGGACTTCAAAAAACGTAGTGTTGCATTGCCGGACGAATGCCGCCATGTGGATGTCGATAAATTGCTCCTGCTGTTGAATGATAAAGCCTGTTGTTCCCATCTCAAAGACTGCTCTATCATTTATTTCGTGGATGTCACTGACGGTCGCGTATCGTTCATCGAGGAAGAACGCAGAACTTTGCATTATCATTTTCTCACTGAGGTGAGCAGAAAGTCAAGTAGCTACACAATGTGGTCACGAATGACATGAGTGTCTTCGAATCGTATGATTAACCGGTAAATTCATTGCTTTCAAAAAGTTCCCGTGATAGCTACCTTTTTAGGAGAAAAGCTGCAACTGACGTGTACATTGAAATATGGCTGCAACTGACGTGTACATTGAAAACGCGTTTAATTAGAATATGCGCCTCGTAATGCAGTTCTGTAAGAGGTTGGCTAAATTCCTTTTCGCTTAAGCTGTTAATTGACATTAGGTTCGATATTTTTTTCCCAGATTCGTAAATGCAGGGATCCGTTAATCTCCCGTATACGTTACATTGCCGGGATGCTGGCCGACGGGAACTCACAGCCGACGAGCATCGACGACGTCAATGTTCTATCGTCCGATGATTGGCTGCACGTGTTTTCCCAATTGGATACTCGGACGCAGACTGGATTACGCGGCGTGTGTTGCCAGTGGAATTCCATTTTGGAATCTCCGGTGCTGACGACATGTATCCTTGTCACGAGCTCTGCCAGTGACTATCAGTGGGTGTGCAGCCAGCTACATTACTTTCTGCTGTCTCCCATTTTCCACCGTCTCCGCAGATCCACACAGCACATCGTTCTGGACGATCGCCAGTCTCAGCTGACCGCCAGTGATTTTCTGCCTTTGGCGGGTATGATAGACTATATTTGCCTTAAAGCCGGCAATCGCTTGCGAATGGTCCATGTCTTGGGATTCCCTTTAAAACTGCAAGCTGAAGCCTCGGTTCCGTTGAACTGGAAATTCTTTTGATGGAATAGAATTATTTTTATGAATCATAAAAATAATTTAATTCCGTAAATTTGTGTAAATTTTTGCATTACTGTATTAGGCGTGCGCCGTCCATGCCACATGATTGAGAACTGAAATGCGAAAGCAGTGTTTCGTGGAGCGGCGTGGTTTGGACACTGTAACCACGCTGGTCCTACAGTTATCAATTTTATTCTTTTTGCAACACCGTTACCCAGTTAAATCGGCGATCGAGCTATTCATGCCGGTATATATACACCCTGTCCACGCCATGTTGGCGGCATGGCATTCTGATTTTTTGCCGAACCGTGTCGTGCAATTGTTCCCAACTTTTTCTAGTTTCTGGTGCAGTTTTCTTTTGCGCATTTAATGAACAAAACTTGTTTTGGTTTTCGATTGCGATGCCGCCATAAACGCCTTCCCGAGCGAAGGCATCGATGGAATGGGGCGTGGCAGTGCTAGAAAAAAATTCAATTCAACTAAAAATCCATGGATGACTTTGTGCGCTTGGAATTAGGGTCAGTTTGACGACGACCAAGACAGTGTTTTGTGAACAAAAACTAAAATTCAACGGCTGGACCGAACCCGCAAAACGCCGAGGGGAGCAAAATCGTTTTTTCGCCCAAACAAAGCTTTGGTTAAAAAAAGTTATGGTGGTCACTGGAAACTGTTGCTACTGAGTGTCGCGCGCTTCTTTTGAGAGTTGTAGTAAAAAGTTCAAGGGCCCAACACCTTCCAGATCGTATTTTGTGGTGCATGTTCAAGTAGGAATTCCCATGACTGCATGGTCACCTCGCAAAGGAGGTCGTCGTTTAGTTTAGCCACACCTACCGCTGCCCTGACCCAGGAGGGGCTTAAAATTGATGGCGTGAAGTGCACCCCAAAGGGCCATTGGATGGTTAAACCAACAGATTTGGCGGCTTTGGGCTACGGCATAAACAGCGGGTGTTTTTAAGTTGTTAATATCACTTTACGAAGTCTAATCGCAACCCACACGTCTGATTACGATTCCAGCCCGTTTCTTTACCACCGTCACTTTTTTAACATAGTGCTAGTTCATCAGTGCCGGTAAGAAGTTTATATGAAACTTTATGTTTAGATCAGATATGCCGCAATTCCAGCTGTTAATGCAACACCCCGTTATTTTCGTCAAGACGGACTTTTTTGGGACGTTTCTGCGCTTTCGTATTTCACCAGTTTCTTTTGCGGTATCAAAAGAAACTGGTGATTTCTTAACGTCTTTTTAAGCATTTCCGTATCCATAATTTCGTTTAGCCAGTCTCGAAATGTGGACTCTTCGGCATAATTGGTGCTTTCGATATCTGCGCTTTTCGAAAGGACATGGCCGACCCTAAACGCTGCTGCATATACCCCACAATTTCTAATCAGTCCCTTGTTGTGAAACAGGAGGACACTCTGTGTCCATTTCATTTCCTTTACTGCAAAGTATCCGGGTCTGCAGCTTAATACATAACCCATAACAACATCAATGCATTCCCATAGATGCATGTTCTTAGGTATTCGCCTCGTCCCCTCATTTCCGCTTTTATCACGAAAAACATCACTCATTTCTATTTGCCGTGTTGTTCTCAAGCAGTCGCGAATACTTCCTTATGTGTACCGCCCATCTCCCATCACAAGCGTTACTGGTTTCCAGTTCTCAGTTATTCGTAAAAATTGAGTTCTTGGAAAAGGTTGTTTGTGCTTTTTGTAGTAAATCTCATGTGTATTTATGCTGGCTATATGAAAAGTGCTTCTACAGGGTCAAAGTATTAGGTTATTAATAATTTAAAACGATAAATTTTGATTTTAGCGGCAAATTTTCTGGCGCATAGCAAATTGACTATGCGCCAAGAAATTTCGTGGCGCATAGAAGTGACCTTTTTTTAAATGGATGCCGCTAACTTGGCGTGGACAGGGTGTAATTTGTTGAGAAAATTAGTCAGGTCTTTTAACTCTTGTCTATGTAATAATGTAAGGGATTCAAGTAAAATCAGGTATTATCAAAATTAGTATAAGTGAGTGATAGTAACCACGCAAACTAAAGATGAGGCCGAGACTACAAAGAAAACCGAAAACTCCTTTGATCTACAGGCCGCAGCGATGTGCAGCGCCACCCACAGACTTACGTAAGTAACTTGCTACACATGGGGAAAGGAGAAAAACGGGAGCGCATGGCCTTTAGCTAACATCAACATCAGTTAAATTGTTAATTGTCATTTTACAAGACAGATTTTTCGTTATTTGTTCTTTTATGCACCCCGCTCATCGGAAGTGTCTCGCGCTGAATATTCCACAAACCAAATTCTCGCAGTGCCCGTTGTGCCTCCCTTTGCAGCAGTGCATTTAATTGCATAGAGGAAGTGTTTTTTTTATAAATGTTGGTTTGTCCTGGTACATAGTTTGTACTCGTATCGTGATACTTATTAAAGGTTCCGGTATATTTAATTGCAATTAGATCGCTGATCTGCATTACTTGTGTAGTTGTGTTGGCTATTTTCTTTGACATAATTTATCCGCAAATGACCACCAACTACTGAGCGGGTAGATACTGAGCGATTGGCAGTTACAGCCGTAAGATGAGCTTTAAAGCCGCTAGAAAATTTGTGTAGCACTAGCCACCCTTTGCGTAGAAAATTCTTGCACACCAAGAACCGTTTTTCTGAGTCTGGTAGTTGGTAGCGACATTACCACATCGCCGTGTAAACGCATTTTTTTTATAAGATATTCAACTTCTCTACATCTTTGGAGTATTACTACTCCGTCAATACCAAAGAAAACCCTATGAGAATTATCACAGATTTATTGGGCAATTAGCTTCTTCTTGGAAGAAGTACGCATCGTTGTGTTCCTTGTTTAAAATTCGAGAGGTGCGATATTACAGTAATGCTGAGCAACAAGACCATTTTTTCCTCGAGGCCCAATAAAGTTATACGTACTCACAGCTCGCAATTAACGCAATTTAAGTAAATGCTTCAGTAATTGTCATCAGAGTCGTAATCCGAATCTTCATCAACCGAAACTTGCTTTTCGGGGTCAGCTACGTCTTCTGTTGTGAATTCGATAATGACACTGGCGGTGCTTCAGAGGTCTGTTCCGCTCGCAGCTGACAGGTACCTTATTGAGTGCCCTTTGAGGTTTTGACGTTGTCTTCTATCGACAAGATCGGGTCGTTTACAGTAAACGGTTTACTGTTTCATATACTTTTGATAAACGCCTGCAAAGCAGCGAAGGTGTCCTTCGCTGCTTTGCTGAGATAATCCTTGTAAATAATCTCCTCGCAAGAAATCCCGGATATGAGCATAATTGTTGAGGCGAGGAATGAGCTGCAGATCATCCTTCAGATAATCATATGAATTACAGCCGCTGCATCTGCTCATAACCGCGCCCCAATCAAACCAGGTCGCTGACTTGCAAGATTATACAAGTTTTTTTCCTTAACATACCACACTGTAGAACGGATTTTTCGCATTTGCAAGTTTATTTTTTCGGCGAAAGTAATCACTTGTACGGATAGGAACGCTGTCTCCCGCACAGCATACCATTTCTATCGCATAGGTATCTGTAATCGCCATGCCTAGCATCATCGACGAGCTATCGTCACAAGTGATGACTTGGTATTTACCTAATTTAATCTTCAAAACCATCAACTGATGGCGGACGAAGCCATCAGTAACCTTCTACTAGGCAGTGTATTAAAGTGCCAATTTCTAGTTCGGTGCCTTTCAAAGTACGGTAGCGTTACGATCTTACCACGTGCCTAGAATTTACGTTTGCAAGGTTTCCGTACATGAAAAAGTATAAAATCAATAATTCTCCGTGTTAGGTAACTCCTTTGAGGAAGCACTTATTCATCTTCGCCAGTTTAAATGTTGCTAAGTGAATGTTCGATGAGGAAGAGTCCGTGCTTTCGTTCAGATGACGCAGCACGCTTCTTTCTTACAGCTCCTGGTCCAGCTCCACTCCGAATGCTCAATGTGCACTTCAATAACTTATCACCCGGAAGACGATATCTTCAAAACATTGCCCTAATTCATCTTTTGAAACCAAAGTTTGTCCCGTCCACGGTATTATAGCACTGTTTTTTCTCATGTTATAATCTGACAGAAAATTAAGCTTCAACTGACAAATACAGTACCTTACAGTAAAGCATTTGATTTGTTGCTGCTTAAATTGAAGAGTTGCAAATTAATCTGATTGGACAATGTGATTTAAAAAGGTTACTGCAGCTCTTGCAACTGGAAACTGTGCAGATCCGCATTTAAAGCTGCTGAATGCATAGTATGATCTTATCATGATGCCGTTCTGGAAAACGGAATAACGGGATTAAAAAGCGACTTTATCTGTTTATCCTTTCCTCTTACTGTTTACAACATGGTTAAGCCCACCATTGCCGTGCTACTATTCTTGATAGAGTCGTTATTAAAGGGTATGTGAGTCAGTGTAGTACACACAAGCATTAAACGATGTTTTTGTTTACCTTTGAAGCCCTGATAAAACAAATTAAGTAGGAAAATAATTAAGCAAATAGATAGCGGTTGTAAACTTTGCCACAAAATCATTGCCCACGGTAGTTTGTTTAGCTTGCAACAGTTCATTAATTTTTGTGGCGTTACTGGATCGAGTAGGGCTTTATTCACCTGTGGTGCAACGTTATGCGATAGTTAAAACATCACTGTGTTCTGTGCATCTGTTGGCTTGTGAAATCACTTCGCTCACGACATTCTTTTGGCAAAAGATGAAACGTTCGCTTTCGAATGCCAAAGATACTTTCGGGTTTCATGGTTGCAAAATTAGCAGGCTCTTTCAGACGATGTGTACTTCGGGTCGCGCAACGCATCCTCAGTCCTAGAAAACTCTTGCGGTTGAACAATCACACCAAAGCCAGCCAGATTTGCTTAGAATTTTGGGCCCACATTAAATTATGTCTCAGAGGGAACGCCGAGAAAAACTATGCGCACTTCACCATAAAAGGCAAAACGTGTTTTATTCGGCATTATCTTATTTTTTCAATCCTTTTAATCGGGTCGCAGCCTGACTGATACATGTCACTGATGTCAGTAATTAAAGCGCAGTGGGGCTTACTCCATCCCCTGCGCGAACGCGGAATTTTGATGCGCACCGCTGTATGCTGACCTTTTCAGGCTGTTCCGCACTGAATCAAGCGACGGTATATCCGGAAATAACCTGCTATCAATGCGATTCCCTTTTGAACAATATGTGCGACAACAATCCCAAAGCCGGCAACCTGGGCCCCATGACTCTGGGGGCGTTCAGATTCGACGAGGAGCGGGCGTGGTACGGTGGGGGCATGGTATTCCGCTGCAGCCCTTCTGCTACACCTATATCGCGCAAATCCGCATGCCCGACGGCCGGAATGTCAATCCGTTCGGGCGGGGTGCAGTTTATTTCGGTGCACCCAATCCCCCGGCGTGCTTCGAGGATACGCTGCAGAACGGAACCGTGGAGATCATTGTACGGTATATCTTCTGCCCCACATCGTACTGTAACACCATCACCAAGACCCAGCTGGCCCAGCAGTGCTTCAGTGGGGATGTAAGTAGCCGGAGAATAATCAGCTTCCAGCTGTCTTGGGATTCATTTTTCTTATTTCTTGTTGTAGGCACTCCGATCCCTTCAGGTCAGTAACCACATAATTTATAGGGTTTGGGCGCATCTTAAACGCGAAACAGCTGGTTTAATTGCACCGAGTTCAGTGTATACGGGCGTGGCCACTGCGTACAGCCACGGCATGCCGTTGAGCATGACCATGTCGAACTGCCCGCTTCGGCTTTGAAACACGCGCCAGTATCATGCCCCCGTAGCATCTGTGTCAGTGCAACCGAACCATTTTAAAATCTTCATTTGTCAACAGAATAGCACGGGTGCAGCTGTGAGGCCGACCATATCGCATCACCGGATGCTTCCAGGGATGGTTCTATTATTTCTTAGCGCAGTCCACGGAATATCTTCTTCGGTTGTTGGGATAGCAGCGGCGCTCGTGGTGAGCGTTTTGCCCTATGGTAAGTGTATTAAAGGCCATTTTTTAGTCCACACACTGACTGAAAGTCGTACAAAATTTATTTCTTTTCCTCCGGAAGGATGGTGCATTTACTGCTGTAATGGTGCAGTACAAGCCGGTCCGGATGATGAGCACGTAAAAGTACAGCTAAAGCTTACTGAGCGCGCTGTCAACGCTTAGCACGATGGCGGCTACACTACGTTTCAGCGTAACCCATTAATATATATTTTTCGCTGTATTTTATCGTGCTCAACATCCGGGCCGGCTTGTACAGGCCCGCCGGGACGGAAGAAAAGTGTGCCGGTATATAGTGCCTGTCAGTGCATAGAAATGCATGTTGTACGAGTATTATTGACCCTCCATTACGTCATGATGGTGTTTTGTTGTGATAAGTGTTAGTAAGATTAATACGTCAGCCAGCTCGAGTAAACTGCCAAAGTGATACTGCCAAAACCCGCGCGCATGCGCGATAAGCGCACTTTCGAACACGCCATTACATAATTCACATTTGTCTTTCGATCTGTAGCCAAATAATTTAGACACACAAGGCCCTTGTGACAAGGGCGTGAAAACCGTTTTTATTGGCGGCATCCAGCAACGCACTCATCGGCGTCATAAGGTTCAGATTAATCGTACACCATGCATCTTCCGCTGATGGCTGTACTTTGTAGTGCCATACATCCAAGCCCAATCGCCAGTACTGAAGTGCTACGCTTGCCAAGATGGTTTCTATGCCACCGCCATGGCGGACGGAACGGCTCAGAAGAACTGCTACGACTCGGCCATTCTGCTAGGCCCGGCACAGCAGGTGGACTGCCCCGACAAATACCAATACGCACCGGACGGGCAGCGGCTGCTGGCCAAGCAGAAGGGCTACTGTGCGACGTGGATCAAGGAGCGGGATTTTGGGGACGGACTATTCTATGTCATGGAGCGCGGGTGTGTGTACCCGGCCGGTGTGCCCGATGACTGCCTGCGCGTCAATGGAGATCGCCGGTTCTTGACGAGCAACGGTCAGTTTCAGCCAGTTACTGGCCGAACCAGTTGCTCAAGTTAACGCTGGACCGAACCAGTTGCGCAAACGGCTTTACGGCTATATTGGCCTGCGTTTAGCCGTTGTCTGTAAGCGCCAAAAAGGTGCTAACTGCTGATCATTAAACTGCTTACCCCCATACTGAACTTGACCAAATTTGCGGGTGATATCGAAGTACATCCAATCTGGCCAAGATTCTTGGCCAGATTGGCTGTATTCCGAGTTCATTTTAAAATTTGAAAAAATTGTAAAAGTCTGGACTCGTGTAAGAACGATCATCATGGGGTTGAGCATTTACATGCAAATTTTGATAGAGATCGGTCCATAATGAGACTTTTGGTACACCTGAATGCATTTAACCTTTTCGGAATTTTGTAACCCTAATAACTCTGCAACCGGATGTTGGGCGCGAAAAGGATTTCACGCCTATGTACCCAAATCATTTGGCTACACAGTACACAATGTCGAAAAGCATGGGATGAGCTCACTGAGTGGGCTCATCCCATCAGGGATGCAGCAGCGCTGATTGGTCAGACGCGTCACAGGATGCGCTGACAGCTCTGACGCTGGATGCGCTTGGCGCTCTGACAGTTTAGCCTGATAGCACCAGCTTTGTCGATCCAGTTGTTAACTGAGATTGACATTAACGGGATCTTATACAACAGGTAGCGTGGTGTTGGCCCGCATACGCTGGACCGTGCAGTACTGTGCGGATAAAAATTACTGCAATAATATGGAGTTTCCGGACCTGGTGAGCAAATGCTACAGCAATGTCTACGCCGGCGGTGCGACTGCCGCGCTTCCGGTGACGGTAAGCAGGTTATGGGACAATGTAGCGCGAGTTATGGCTACATTTCGGTTTCTGTTGACAGAGGAATTTTAGCAACACCGACTTCGCACGCTACACAACCCCGTCGGTAAGTCTGCCTTTTGGAATAGTCAACCCTATCAATTCGGCACGTCACCAGTAATTTGTAGTACCGTTTACTCAACCACTACATATCAACAACATATCGTTATGCGCGGTACATGTACGATTTGCTGGTCCTGCTGACCGACAAATTGTTGGCGACTCAGTGTTGCCGACAAAATATTCACCCTATAATTTGTTGAAACGACAAATCGGACAGTTCTAATCATTCTAAGAAAACAAGCTATAAAAAAATAATAAGATACAAACCGGACCAATGCTGAGCTGTCGGTAAACGGAAGGTCATAGAAAGGTTAATCAGCAATTATCGGTCGCTAATTTGTCGGTTAGCGAGCCAGTCTGCAAATCGTCGGGAAGCGAAAACTGCGAAACGGCAATCAAGACACTGATGTGCTGCTACGTCCATTGTGTAAACTCGCTAACAAAATTTTGATTGACATTACTGTGTATTTCGACGGTAATGTTTAGGTTCTCACTTTTTCCACATAAGCTTCTATCGTATGGTGCTTGCAGTTTCTCGAATCCAATGCCACCATGCCACCGTTGCAAGACACGGTCTACATCCAGGCTCAGGTTATTATCGCTAAAGTAAGTGCCCCGATTCGTCGTACGTTGACTACGCAGTTTTGTTGACACTGAGCACCATTTCCAGATGAAATCAGGGGATACCGCCGACCTCAACATCACCCGTGCTAACGGGCAGACGCGGCATCGCGCTGCCAGCCAGAGCGTTGTGGAATTGATCCTGGTTATGATGTTACCAGTGACAATATTACAGCTGTTAGCTGGACATCGTGCAATGCGATGAGAATTACAGCGCTAGAATAATGGTCGCAGTGGGCCGTCGCGTCGGCTTTCACGGCTGGACGGCCCCGTGTATTGTGGTGGGCGTCGCCCGTTTTTCCTGTGAGTTTCTGTCACTAAATTTCTTCCGTGTTGAGCGGTTTGACAGTCCGTTCTTGTGTATCCGCCCGTTTGCTGTTACTACAAAGGCTGGCTGAAGGTTGTTCATTAACTGCATATTTTGACTTACGTGTTGACACTTCTGTGTTAAATTTTTAAATTTGGATTACCGTCAACAGGCCTGAAGTGTCACAATGCTGTTGTCGTCGAAATAAAAATTTGTTTGTGGGCGAATCACAAACGCCGGTTTAATGTGGGCACGTGTCGTAGCAGCGCACAGGATTACGACCATATCGCAGACGTGCAAGACGGTTTGTTGGGTGTTTTTTTCGCCTGTACGGTAATGTACCTAATCGCAGGCTGCACTGATAGTACCTGATCGCAGGCTGACAGAAACGGCGTCGAATTTATTACTTAATCTACATTCTCGAAAAAAAAGCGCCAACGGGCCTTAAGACGGCATTCGGCTGATCGCTGACTACTGGGCAATTCGCCTATCAAACCCACAGGAACACGTTAAAGGCCGACAATTCCACTAATTTGCGTCAAAATTTGAATTCATCACCTGTTTTCGTGGGACATTGAACCTAAGAAGCGTCTTTAGCACATCAATTATTATCAATGTATTGCAGTACAGTAATGTATTGTAGTAATGTAATGTATTGTAGTAATGTACAGTGTATGTATTGCAGTACAGTAATTGAAATTTGGGTGATACAAGATTCGCGCGTATTTTATCTTCCGAGCTCCGTGATTGCCAAAGAGAAAAGGGAATTACGAGTACACCGAATTGCTGCATAGCTAGCATTTTCGAAGAAGTACAGTACTTACGCGTGAATAGAGTAAATACAGGTGCAATTTTGCTAGACGGTTATTCAATGCTGAGGAAAATACTTACCTTTTTCTCCACGAAGCGCAATAAAACTGGTACTTAATAATTATTCACAGAGCGCCACTACATATAACACATTCAGTACAGTACTCGTACTTATCTCTAGCGAGGAGCGTGACAACAATAACAGCGTCACAATAACTGATGTCTCACAATACTTATTATTGTGCAAATTTTCAAGTCAAAGGGTTTTCCTTAAATTATCGACCGGCGCGTAGTGAAGGTCATATTGTTGGGCCAGTCGCTATGGCAGCCTACGAGTAGGCAGCCAGCGACAGTCCCGCTTCCGGTGTGCTGACTCACACCGAGTCGCACTCGCTGTCGAGCGCTAGATCGGCCTCGACTCAGGCAGCTTTCCGCCCAGCCTCACGTCTCGGCCAATCACCGGCCTCGATGTAGGCGGAGCCACGCCTCCTTTCCTCATCTCGGCCTATCAGCGTTCGTTCGCTCGTGTTGGATCTGCCCAGTGCCGCATTAGGCTTTTTCCCATGTTATGGCTCGACGTGCCGTTTATTTTCATTCACTAGCTGACATTCGGTGATTTTCATGTTCCAGCTCGCATCGAGCCTTTGTGTTTGGGTTTTCTGTACTTTATTGCTATCACAATAAAGCCTCTTCTCACTATCGTGAGCCTTTGTTCGCCAGCTGTCACATGATAGCATATCGTTGAGTTTTTCCTTCTGCGAACCTCTTGAGACCACGGTGTAGACCTACATCCGTACGGCCGACGTGAAGAAAGGGGAGAACCAACGGTTCCTATCCCCATCTGATCGCCGCCAGCCTGAACGGTCTGGTCTCTTCTCTCTCTCTTGCGGGCAGAAAGCCTCGGCAGACCCTCTTCCTTGCGCGTGGACGGAACGTTCCTCGCGGCAACAACCCTCGGACGGACTTTGCCCGGGTTGATTAGCGGTTACCGCGGATCCCCGGACGGAACGGACGGCACGGACCCAGCGGACCCTCGCGGACCCTCGCAGCCTCATCAATCGGGGTCGCCTTTGCCTTAAGTGGCACCCGCAACTTTAACAGCGCGGATTCACCGGATCGACAAGCGGACTCACGCGGATTTACCCGGTAAATAGGGTCGACTGACCCTCGGTAAGCCTCGTAGAGCCTCGTAAGACCCGATATAACCGGGCAATTTTCATTTTCACCGGACCAAAAGTAATTTGGCCGGCTAAAACTTATTTTCACCCGGATAAAACGGGCTTAAAACATCTTTTTACGGGTTAAAATAGGGTTAGCCAGCCTTACTAGGCCGGACCCTCGAGCCTCGGTGTAGACCCTCTGAGCCTCGGCTAACGACCTTTCTGAACCTTCTAAAAATTAAGGGAATAACTTTCCCCCGGCTAAATTAATTTTTGACCGGCTAGAAAATTTTTCCTGAATTTTTCCTGATTTTTCGGAATTTTTCTAACGCGGAAAATAATTAATTCAAAAATTTAAATAATTGTGACGTCACGACGGCCGATTTTACATTATAAAATCCGACCAATCAGGACAGCGGGGAGATTCCCTATGCTGTAGGCCCGTAGTGAGTCATAGTTTTTTGGAATTTTGCACGCGGCGCGCAGAATCGTGACGTAGGCAGTAATCTGCAAGACCACTTAACGGTGTGTGACGTCATAGCGGTCAGTGCTGTAGTATAGGACGTACGTAAGCTGTACCCTGTACTGACAACAGTACTGAGTTGCAAGTAGCACACACCATCACCCCACCCTACCACCTCTGCCCCCCCCCCCCCCACCGGACCTCTGCCCCCCCCACCGGACCCTCGGACCTTCAACAGGCAAAAGCCTCATCAACTTCGGACAAGTCCCCAATAGGGATAGTCCGACTTCTTGGCTGAAGGGTCAACCCGGAGGCTACTTCAAGGCTCCAATAGAGTCACCACTGAAGATGTCCGGTCGAGACAACCCATATGAACGGAAGTTCGACCAAGGCTACGCCCGACGGGATAACGCAGGCGGGTAAACCTTCCGTCATGCCGGCCCGGGCAGCGAGCCTCACTCGTCGGACTCCAACCGATCGAGCAAGTCCGGCAAGTCGAACCAGTCGACTAAGTCGGCCAAGGAGAAGCGGGATGCGCGGATCCTGGCAAACGACTTCACCCAATCGCCGGAGGATAGCTTCGAGGACGCACACAACCGGACGTTCCTCGAACTACCACAGGCCGAACCGGAGGTTCTGCACGGCCCAATAGGTCGAAATGCGAACTCCGAGCCTGCGGCTGGACTTGTGCACCCAATAGGTGCCTCGCCAGTCCTCTTCCCGGCCATCACCCCGGACCATGGAGCCTCGAGCCCGGCGCTAAGTAGCTCCGAGGCGTCACCAGACATGGGTGACCCTGTGCAGCCCCAACAGGTTAGCATGGCTGGACCGAAACCGAGGCAAGGCCAGATGAGCCCGAGCCAGATGAAGGGTACGGTATCACCGACCCGGGGGGTGACCCAGCAAGGCGGGTTCACCGACTAAGTCCCCATTGACCCTGGCTCAAAGCCCCAAACCAACGGGCAACAACCCAGAATCTTTGGACAACAGTCGGAAATCGACGTCGCCGGACCCGAAGCGACCCTCGGGGACTCCGAAGGCGACCACACCGGACCCGAGGACCCTTACTGGAACTTCAAGTCGGACTTCAAACTCACCGAAGCCGACTTCGGGAACTTCGAAATCACCAACGGGAAAGTTGCAGTCGGCTGGAACCTCGAACACCGAGGCTCGAGCCTCGGACACCGAGGCTCGGACCCCCAACACTGGGGTCCGGACTCCGACCCAACAGGTGGGAACATCCAAGACCCGGCCGGCAACCCCCACTTCCTCGGCTAAGAAAGCTGTTTCCCTGGTCAAATTCCGGATTTCGTCGGTTGCAACCTCCACGGGCGAGGTTGAGGGTTCGGTTACCGAGGTTAACTTAACCTCGGATGGCGGACCGTCATCCCCGAAACCCAAGACCCCCGGCAGTGAACCTATGCTGACCCGAGCCAGCCGGATCGAAGCCTCAAAGGCTGATCGGAAGTCGAAATCGGCTTCACCGAAGGTTGCAAAGCCAACCTCGGACCTTCCGGCTACACCCCCGATGTTCGAACCCTCGGACCTCGGGGCTGGTAAAACCCCATCACCGACCGACGATGTCTTCGACGCAACCGTGTTACCCAATAAGGTGACCGAGCGTCCGGACAGCAGAAAAGGCTTCAGGTTTCCGTCACCGAAGCAATACCCAGGCTCACACATCGGAGCCTCGGACTACACACCCCGGCGGTACCTGACAAAGACCCCTCCGGAGAAGATTGACAACCCACAAGTCCTCCGTCAACGGATTTACGAGCTGCAAAACCAGCTCTTGGCCGGACAAAACATCGTCGAATCGACGGAGAATGTTCTGTCCCAGACGGTGGCTTCGCACAAACAGGAGCGCAAGAGGCTCACTGACGAACTTGAACGTGCGAATGCTGTCATTGATGACCTTACCCAAGAGATTGAACGGTTAGAGGCCCAGTTGCAAGTAACTGAGGAGCCCTGCCGTCACGAACAAGCCGAAGTCACTAGACTCCAGGACATGCTGGAGCAGTCTCGGACCGAAGTGGCCACCCTGCGCCAGGACTTGGAGCAGCGGTTACAGGCCTCGGCTACTCCGAGGCTGGCTCGGCGGAACTCCATAAGATGTTCGATCGGGTGGATGAGTACCGTGAGGAGAACCATCACCTCAGACAAGGCATCATCGGCCTGGAGGGAGAGATTGACGAGCTCAACTCGGAACTCGACTTCCTTCGGACGGCCTACGCGAACCTCCGGGAGAATCAGAACGACCCGGAGGGTATAGCCGTAGACCTTCGGCTATGCCAGGCTCAACTTGGCCAGCAGATCCTTGCCCTCACAACCCATCTCCAGAACGAGACGGCCCGGTTCGAACAGGCTCGTACCGAGAGCCTCGCAGTCATCGAGGCTCAACGAGCTCGGATCACACAGCTTGAGTCCGAGAAGACCCAGTGGGAAATGGACAAGGACCGTCTCCTGAAGTACCAACAGGAGCTCTACAACTTCGGCATCGACCTATCTAACCGGTACAACGACCTTGGTGACAAGTACAACCAGATGTACCAGGAACGAGAAAACCTGGGCATCGAGGTCGCATGCTTGAAGGAAGAGAAGACATATCTCGAGGACTCCATGACCGAGCAACCCCCGTCCTACCGGACTACCCAAGAGCAGGATAAATGTCAGCAGATTGATGACTACCTGCGACGAGATAACCCCCTGTTGAACCCAACAGGTCAGATGGGGGCTCTCGAGAGTCAGATCTATCAGGTCGGAATGCTTAGGGCTGAACCATCGGTAG